AAAAAATATCTGATACGGTCGTAAATGCGAATTTAAAATACATTTAATCCGGAAAGTGATTTAATTAAATTGAACTGTATGCTTTTATATCCTCATAACAAAACCAATATTGGTTCTCGTGTTTATATTTTCATAAAAAACTGCAAAGCTTACAATGACTTACCTATGGTGCTAAGAAACTAATATTAAAAATAAATAATAAGTAATTAATTGAGTTCAGTATACTAAAATTATACATCATATAATTAATATATAACTATTATACTTATTAAAACTTCTTCAATATTAAATATCTATTGAAAAGGTCCATATAAAATAAGCAATAAATATAGAAAAATGTACAAAAGTTGCACTTGTTTGTTGTAGTTGCAATGCTACGTTGCTCACATTGCAGGCCGACAAAGCAAAAAGTCGTATTTAACCATAGATATAATAGGTACACAATTAGTTAAATGCTACCAACATAACGGTTTAAAGAGATGTAAACTGAGTATTTTAAAGTACTCAAAATGTATGATGGCCGATACCCATGCAAGACGTCTGAATGAATTGACATTTACATTAACATGCTCAAACACGTCTTTATCAAAGTACTCAATGAGACTTGGTGACACATCTAAAATAGAGTTCGCTATAAATTGCCGATATAGGTCACCACTGTTACCTAGACTTCCTGTCGATGCAAATGGCGAAAATAACTACGATTGCACACTTGCCACTTCGCTCACATTATAACCTGCAAATATATAGACTAAATAGCATTTAACTGTTAGGGACATTATGTTATACAAAAAACTTCGACATACAGTCTCGTCCGTACCTGTGTCTTATTTTTATTTAGCCCACCACTAAGTGGAAAATAGTAAATATTAAATTTTAGGTATACTTTAAAAGTACTCATCCGATTGTAAAGTATGGTTAGTTTAATCAAATATTAGGTATTACACGAAATCTGCCAAGAAAATGCTCAATTTCTCAATGAAACTCTTAATCAGAATTACCATCATTGTATATTTAGAAATACTTAGTTAATAATTTAAGTCCTCACAAGCTTTCCCTAACATCACATTAGATTGTACTTATTTCAATATACATATTTTTAAATGCCCTTTAAAACAAAAAGAAACAAACATTAAATGTAGTTGCCCCATTACCTACATGTCCAATATTACGTAATAAAAAAAGTTGTTTCTTGCAAAGTAGCGAAATCCTAGTCATTAAATAAACGAGTTTGGACAGCTTTCATTGGATGAAAGTTTCCAAGACTTACGACTGGCATATATCACACAGTTGGCAGGCCCATCAGGTACTTCATCTTTATGTATAACCCAACAAATTAAAATTTTCTAGCAGAACTCGCGGCTTCACTCGAGCTAAAAAAAAACTCTAAAAAGGTAGGTTTCATACAAACTTTCAGCCCCTATTTTACCCCTTTATGGAATGAATTTCGAAAAAAGCTAAAACATGTATTTAAGAGCATTCAAATTATTCTGATCATAAATATTTTTTTTGGGTTGTATTATAACGTGTTTTCCCGTGGGAATGAAATAATTTCCTGCAGTAAAAAGTAGCCTATATCACTCTCCAGCCCTCCTATCTATACACAAAAAATCAGGCCAATCCGTCACTCTGTTTTGACGTGAAAAAAGGACAAACAAACACACTTTCATATTTATAATATTAAGTATGGATATGGATTACAGAAAAAATATCAATTTTATCATTTAAAATTCAATGTACATTATTTACGTACATATATGTATATGAAATAATAGAGATGGAGCAACTTAATTTCATTTTCAATAGTCAATTACGATTGGTACCAAGCATAGCATAGCATTCTTAATGCAACAATTTGTATCATTTAGATCTGAAGGACCGTTTGCTTTGGCGAGTTTTGATAGCACAATGGGCGTCATGGCTGCGCTATTGAGTTCAAATAGAACTATATGTAAAATAAGAAATATTAACAAAATGAAGTAAAGTTATTGGCAGAAGTCACAACTGGAATAGTGGTTTTCTCAAGAAAAACACTCTCTAGCTTTCCTTTCAACCGGTTTCTGTCAATGGAAACTAACGCCTTATGGGCTTAATGCTTATTGAAGACACGCGATCTTAAACTCATCGTTGGTTCAATAAACGGCATTTCTATATATCAAATATATATATATATATATATATATATATATATATATATATATATATATATATATATATACAAAATTGGTGCAATTTTCATTTTGTTAATTGTGGGTAGGCTGTCTGTAACAACTATACCTCCAAGACATGTAACACCTCAGTCTCTCCCGTGACTATGGATGCTGTAAAGCATTCGAAACGTCGGGAAACAAAAATGCAAATAAATCCGCGACAAAATCCGAAAAGATAGTTTTATTTAAAATTTTAATTATTTATTTAAAAAAAAACTTAAAATATTTTAATAAATTTAAAAGGATGCTACCTAGTGCCTAATGACTGCTATAAATTGTATCAATTGTTACATAATGCGCCCTTCACCAATAAATATCAATCAACCTAATGGGGTTGAATGACAGCGAACGAGTGGAAAGCTATGCATATTAATCTTTGCATAATATTATTGCACCGAATCTGACTTTTACTTTCTGCAGAGCTGGCAGCTCGGTTCCAACAAGTTAATAGTTAACAGATGGAATCTATTAAATATAGATGAAATTATAATATGTATTGAAAACTTTCAATTCATAAAGAAAAATATGGTAATTATGCTGTTTTACATAAAAATAATAATAGTGGTCGTGAAAAAAAATCTTTTAATTTATTTCTATATAAAGCTTGTCATGACAATAACAAACACAAAAAAAATAATTATCCAAATTGGTGCAGTCAATCGGAAGTTATACGCGTACATACATTTCGGTGATTCATTTATATTTGTAAGAAGACTAGCTTGAAGCTTCTCAGTTCTCACTTTGCTAAATTCGCTGCATGACATTCACAAATCGATCTAGAATCCCTTACTCGCCTATATAAGGCTCACGAAAATTAATTTAATCGTTCTTTTATTTGCCTTCCTGCGGATATCCTTTTTCTTTTCCGAGACAAAAATATCACGTTAAAATCGATTCAGCTGTATGGTCCCAGAGATTAGCAGTTAAAAACAAACATATTATTTATTTATTTAATAGCTTGCAAACAAAACATTAAGTGTAGTAAGTATAGATGATATAATACTTATATATATTTTTTGCCATTTATAGTTTATTCATTGAGGAAAGCTTAAAGTCTATTCAACAACGCGCTTTGACCTTTAGGAGTTAGATGCAGACTGGAGAGCAAATAAACGTAGGTACTTAAATAAACTATGTGAGTAAAGTGGCGGGGCAAAAGCTTGTATTTGTATATATTTTTACAAATTAAACGTTAAGGTCATGATAAAACATTAAAATGAATTAATAAATAGTTTGAAAATAATAATAATAATGCAGTCGATTCACATGCGTCTGTAATCTGTACGCGCACGTATAGTAACACTTCTTGCAATACGACAGGAACTGTTTGATAATGGGATCAAATTATGTCACATATGAATAATGTCATAATTTTCTCTGTAACGGATTTGGTTCCCGAGTTTACCTTCTACATACATTCAAACTCACAAACTTTATTATATTAATAATGATTAAGTAAATATATGTTATATGCTGTACTATAATTTAGTAGCTGTTTTTCCCTTTTATGTTTTACCTGTCTATATGAGAAGTTGAAGGCAGTGGTAGCCCAGTGGTAACGCGCTCGCTTGGGAAACCGAATGAAGTGAGTTCAAATCCCGGGTCTCGCACCTCTGATATTTTCATGTGCGAATCATTTCCAACATGATTACCACTTGTCTTAACGGTGAAGGAAAACATCGTGAGGAAACCTGCATGTCTGAGAGAATCTAGCAAGTTTTCAAAAGACATGTGAAGTTCGCCAACCCGCACTTGGCCAGCGTGGTGGACTATGGCCTGATTCTCCTCGTGCTGAAGGGAGGCCCGTACCCAGCAGTGGGACGTTAAAAAGGGCTGAATACATACATACATGAGAAGTTTTACCTAAAGTGGCCTCGTAAAGAAATATATGTATATTTGTACATATTTCTAATAATACCCATGAATACATCTCCATGTCATTTATTATAAAATGTTCAATCGTCATTGTTAATAAATAAGTGGGCGTATCCAGCTGTGCTGATTTGGTATTTCTCGCCAGATATTTACAATATCATGTAACAACATCGTAACAATTAAAATATAATAACTAAATCTATCTTTTTTGTACCTAGTTTATACTTTTGATTAAGTTATATTCAAAAAATAATTTCGCGATACTTTCTTGGGTAAACAGGAAAAACATGAATTCTCTTTTATTCCTTTTCTCTACCTTCACATTTATGTTCTACAATAATCGAGTTGCTTTGTTAAATGACATTTTCCGTTATTGAAATCGAACTTACCACCTTTGTAGATGGTGCTAAGTGCCAACAAGATTGTTATCACAAATATATGCGATAACACGTAAATTTTTAAAAGTAGATAGGAATTTTATGTATAAATAACATGTAATTGCTTTTAATATTATATTTTAAATGATTTTTATTTTTTTTGTAATACCTATTTTCGAAAACGATATGTAATAAATAAGTAACGAATATGATATATTTAATTCTCAGTTAAAACTTACTAGATATTATATATTCAATACAAATGATACAAATATTTCTACAAATATGCAATTTTTAAATTGATAAAAATATTTCATTCGGTTACTTAAAACACAATATTAATAAAGAATAACTAAGTAACTTAAAACACAATAATAAAAAATACGTGAAACGAAACGTACGCGTAATGCACGAACTTCAGAGCGGTCGACTCTTGACGTTTCATTTTGTCTGCGCTGTGCCGCATGTTGCCGTCCATTTTGACAAGAACAACATGTGAATATTACAGTTTTGAGTTTTTCTTCAATAAACAAAAAACATGGCTATGTTAGCAGGCCCACGTCGTAAGCAAAAAGTAATTAATTTACGTGCTAATAACAATGCATGGAGTAATGACACAAATAAGTTTGGCCAGCGAATGTTAGAGAAAATGGGATGGAGTGCTGGAAAAGGGTTAGGTGCTAAAGAAAATGGTATTGTTGAACACGTCGTGGCCAGGTATAAAAATGACGATAGCGGACTCGGTTTTAAAGACAAAAACGACCAGTGGACGAAACACGAGGATGATTTTAATGCATTGCTTGCTAACCTATCAAATGGTAAGTTATGAAAACTATATCGAGGATAAATATTTTTATTTTCATTTAAATGTTTGTTTAACATAATACTTTCTTAGATTTACGCGAATACTTGACATTTTAAATAATAGTTAATTTTAAATAATATTTAAATAATAGTTAATAAATAAAAGATTTAGACATTTTAAATAATAGTTAATAAATAAAAGTTTTATTTAAATGTTTGTTATTTAACTATGCACCTATTTTGGCACAAGTTTAGAATATGGGACATTACCCCTGGCGGAGTGGGTGGTATTTCTGGATAGGGGACGTGATAGGGCGTCGAAAAGTTAAATAAAAATTTTTCCGAAAACGTACGAGTAAAAAGTTATTGAGACTTAAAGTTACAACATTTCCATACATTTTCATATATTTCTTTTCCACCATTCGGAGTGGGTGGTATTTTTAGATAGGGGAGGTGACAGAGAGTCAAAATATATTAAAAATATTTGGAGGAAACGTACGAGTAAAAAGTTATTGAGACTTAAAGTTATAACATATCTAACACATTTCCATACATTTCTTTACCTAAATAAGTGATTACAACAGATAAACATACCTTTAACGAATAGTACGCATCCTTTTTTATGTACAAGACATATTTTCACAACAATTAATGCTTTATTGTATTTAATATTTTAATAATTTCACAACACAAACAAAATGATCTTACATTTTGACAAAAGCAAAACTGACACTTTGTTTTATATTACCGCTTAAATGACAACAGATTATATTTGATTATTTTTGCTTTTTCTGTTGGTAATATTAATAAATAAATAAATAAAAAGAAAAATATTATTTTTGTTTCATAAATACATTTATGATTTTTTATCTGATTTATGTAAAATATATTGTTTTACAATTGTACATTTAGTAAAAAAAATCATTTTTTATCTGTGAATATTTTTAATTATTTATTTATTATTCGTCATATCTGGGTTAGGTTAGGTTAGAACATTTAAGATTATATATTTATTATTCGTCATATCTGGGTTAGGTTAGGTTAGAACATTTAAGATTATTTATTTATTATTCCTCATATCTGGGTTAGGTTAGGTTAGAACATTTAAGATTATTTATTTATTATTCCTCATATCTGGGTTAGGTTTTTTTTTTTTTTTTTTTTTTTTTTTTTAGAGAGTTATTAGTTGTTTGTGTGACTCGCGGTGCTAATGGGTTACACCACGAGGCACAACATGTTTAGGTTTGCGGCTGTGTTATGACGTTCGTTCCATTGAACTCTTTTAAACAGTTGACAATGCCAGTCAAGAGCTCAACAAACGTTCCAATTGTGGACTCGTTGGTAATGATCTGGGTTAGGTTAGGTTAGAACAGTTGCCATAAATGACTAGAAAACTAGAAAATTCGAATTTCACGCAAGTACAAATAAAGACAATCATCTGGAGATCATTTTGACAATTGAAAGTGACGTTTTGACTCCAAGTGTCTAAATGGTAGTAATGTCAAAATAATGTATGGAGATGTTGTAACTTTAAGTCTCAATAACTTTTTACTCGTACGTTTTCGGAAAATTTTTTATTTAACTTTTCGACGCCCTATCACGTCCCCTATCCAGAAATACCACCCACTCCGCCAGGGGTAATGTCCCATATTCTAAACTGCAGCCCCTATTTTTATATAACATTTCGGGATATTATTGTATTATTAAAGTACTTCAATAACTATTCAATATTTTATTTATATTGGTTAAAAGATCAGAAATATATCTAAAAATAACTATTGTTTACAGGAGATGATAATAAAGAAAGCTTACACAGTGGTATTTCCTTAGAAGTGAAATCAAAGAAAAGTAAAGCTAGAATTCATTATCATAAGTTTACCCGAGGTAAAGACATCTCCCGCTATAGTGAAAAAGATTTGGCTAATATTTTTGGTAAGAAAAGTTTTAAAGAAACTGAAGAAGAAGAAACCATAAAAGAAGATGCTACAACATCAGAACACATATTTACAGAAAAAGGTAATATGGATGATTATTTTAAAAATAAAATGGCTGCCATTAAATCTAAATTATTTGATGTAGAAAATAAAGTTACACAAGAGGAGGAAATATCTGATTTTGTATTTCAAGGATTTTCAAATACTAATGATAATCAAAGTGATAAAGAAGATAAAAATTACCAATCTTTTTATGATTCTAAAACAAATATACTTAGTACAGATGAATTACCTCATTCAGACATGGAAATCAAAAAATCAATGAAAAAAAAGAAAAAGAAAAAATCACAATGCAAGGATGTTACGGAAGATAATAGTCCTTCCTCAGAATTATTGCAATCTAGGGAAAATGTAGTAAATAATGAAATTTTAACAAAAAAGAAATCAAAAAAGAAAAAGAATGAAACCCAAATGGAAGAAGAAGAAGCGCAAGAACATAGTAAATCAAAGAAAAAAAAGAAAGATAAAAAAGAGCATAATTATGTCCAGGAAGAAAATATTGATTCTTGTGATGATTATGTTCCAAAAAAAAAGAAGAAGCGGAAACAAAAAGATGTCTAGTCTAAAATAAATAAAAACTAAAAATACTTATTTCTTCTTTTTAATTAGAAAATTCTTACTTAGTTTTAGTTTATTTGTGAATAAATTAGTTTACACTTGCACTACACGGAAAATAGTCTTTTTATATATGTTTGCAATGTTTAATTAATGAACAACAATATAATAATAGCCAAATTGCTAATTTTGCCACAAGGTGTGAATAATACTGAATATAGGAACTTTAAATTAACCATCACTGATGCAGCACCATATTGCTATATGTATTATATCAATCTTAAACAGTATACATAATATGATATTTACAATTTTTTGATAAATTTTCATTTCCTATCTTTCCTTTAATATTAGTTTACAACCAAAAAAACTAAGCCACACTTAAAGATACTATTTACAAATAAACTTTTAACTTATGGAATAAGTTCATTGCATAAATGCTACATAATATACGTAGGTACGTGTCGGGTATACGTCATATATACACAAAAAGATACAGCATAATTTAGTACCTCCTTTTTTAAAAAAAAACTAACTAAAAATTACACTAAATATTAAAAAAAACTATTTTACGATCATTGTCATTTATTACATGCGTATGCAGATAAACCGGAGCGAGTATCCGAGTTACTTAATGATTGCTAGCGGCGGGCGGCGGCCATGTTGTTATAGATATCGCGCAGTTGGCATTACGTTGTTAGTGATGACAAAAGATTAAATTAACTATCTAATAAAATTATATTTAATACAGACAATTGTGCTAAAAATTGTGTTATATATTGTGTGATTTACATTGTTAGTAAAGCAATTTCAGATATATTCGTGCATTGAAGAAAACATACTTAGTAACCTCAAAAAGAAACATTAACATTCAATCGTTTTCGATGTGAAATACTAGTTATGGTGCAACACTATTTTCTTTGTCATTCAAAAATCAAAATACAAGACAAAGACATTAGAGTTTAGACAATTGACATTTGACATACACTGTCAAATTGCACGTGCGTTTATTTTGTGAAATAATTATTGCTGTATTTTAAACATTCAAATCAAACGAAACTCATTCGCTACAATATTAACTACATAATAAACTACACAATAACTAAATATCATTTATATTTTATTCATGTTATAACACCAATAATCAAGTTAAATCATTGAAATGGTTATACAAGTTGAACCCGAAGAACTGTTGGATACTAAAATTCAAAAACATAAAATGGAATCCAAAAAATATATTGTTTTTAAAAATCACGTACGAGAAATAAAGGAACAGCCAGAAGAAGTAAAAATTTTAAAAGATTTAAATGAAGAAAAACACGAAAAATACAATAAAAATGAAGTGCACAAACAGAGTTCATCGTCGTCAGAAGACGATCAAATAAATACAGTTATTGCCACTAAGGATTTAGAAGAATTAAAAACAGTATATAAAAAATGCAAATCAATTTTAAATAAAATTGAAACAAAGTATGGACACCTATTAGACTTAAATGATGAAGATGAGTACAGATACCCGAAAAGAAAGAGAGTAAGTTTAAATGATAATTTTCAACATAAATGTATATGCACTCCTAACAAGAAAACAATTTTTACAGAAGACGGCCAACAAGTATCACAGACAGATATTATATCAGAAAGTCATATATGTGTCTCGAACAATAAGTATCAAAATACATATGAAAGTATTCAAGTAGATTACGAAAATGAATATACCATTTTGCCAGATAATATACAAGAACTAACAAAAATACTGAAGGATTCAGAAATAACTAGAAATTTTAGAAATAGAGTTATAGAAAAAATTAGGTATTTGAGATATGAAAACCTCAATGAAATAAAATATAAAAAGGAATCTTTAGTGAAAAAATTAAAATCTAATCCAGAAGAAATTATAGATTTTAAAGGGACTAATATATCATCTTTACCAGGATATCCAACAACATAAATGTTATGTTGAATATATTGTTGATATTACATACCTATGTAATAATAATTTTTTAAGTATGCTAAATATGAACTATTTTTCTTTATAGTGGTCATAATTGGAGATTTGTATTTTTCAGCAATCTTGCGATATTTTATAATTTTTAGTATAGTAGTAATGAAATGTTTATATTACTTGTATTGATTGTAAAATCTTAAAATGAAAGATTTTTATTTTGAGATATAAAAGTCATGTTTATCTATGGTTACAGTAGTGTAAGATGCCACAATTTTTACTTCTATGTTTTGAACTTTTCTTTATTCGTACTAATAAAAGTCTATAAATGAAAAGGCAGATTTTCAACCATGGTGTAGTGTCTTACTTTTTTAGCATGGCTTAGGCAAATATGGTGATATAATATAATAGTGGTAGCACAGTGGTGTCCCACTCGCTTAGGAAACCAAGTGAAGCGGGTTCAAATCTTAGATCCCCGTGTTAGCCATATAAATAATTATTTTTTCGTTTGAATTATTTTTCTAATGTTTTAATACTCATCATCCTATTCTGGAGTAAGAGAAATCAAAAAAATCAAATATCATAAAAATTGGTCTGGCCGTCCTTGAGTTATAAATGGTGTAACTAACATGACTTCGTTTTATATATATAGATAAATACCTTTTAAATTTAAACTGGTAATTAATGTATGATATGTAGTATGGTGGATTTAAATATAAATTTGTATTAGCTTTGACCTTGTAATATTGTTGTCCTGTATAGGTTTTATCTGACCCAGTACAAAATTAATGTTTAAAGTTTTGTGAGAAAATAATTGTTCTGTGGTTTATCATTTTTAAATACTGTTTATACAAAATTTCTATGATATCTTTCTTAAAAGCTTTAATGCAATGAACAGTAATTAATAAAAAGTATTTACTTTGTAAAATACATATAGTTTTATTTTTAATTCCTTCATTATATCTCATATTATTGGACTACTTTACTAAAAGGACTGAACCTCACAATAGTGCGGATCACAGTCTTCTCGGTCCGATATCGCTTGGTAAAGTTTTTGTAAACAAGAAACATTGCTGGAGTGTGAGTCTTACTGATAGTGTGAATGCACTCATTATTTCTGGTATAATAATACTTTACCAGACCCATATCCGACCAAGAACGAACCGTGATCGGCATTCGGCACTATAGTGTGAATCGAGCCTAGTTGTGACAATTTGCATGTGTGTATTCGTATGTTTGTTATTTCGTTGTGTTAAAAGGGCTGGACAGATATGGATAATATTTAGTACGCAGGTAGACTATCTTCTGAAATAACACATAAGCTGCTGACATATTTAATGGAGAAAAGTTACATAAGGTAATATATTCAACTAGCATTGCCCGCGGCTCCACTCGCGTTCAGATGACCAAAAAACAAATTCTTAGGTTTTACATAGTATACTCTTACATTGCAGTTTTTGTATTTTTTCTCAGAAATTAGATATTTTCCCGCGGTAAAAAGTATCCTATATGTTGACCCGGATAAGCAGCTATCACCTTATCAAATTTCATCAAAATCCACCTTAGTGGTTTTTCTGTGATGCGGTAACTTAACAGACAGACAGACAAAAATTTTAAAAACTATAGATTCGACCTCTATCGATAATAATGTTTATTTCAATAAGATTTCCCAAAAAATATTTAATGTACAGATTCGTTTTAGTTATCATTTTATTATATGTATAGAAAATCTGTCCGTCAAATTTTGTATATTGAAGATACTTGATAGTTGTGGTCAAATAGGTCATAGGGGTGTAGGTACCAGCAGTTTTCTAAACCAGAGGACGCACTTTCAATTTCCCTAAATGGTAAATGATAGTATTGACCAAGTTCTTTCGAGTTTTCAGTTATGTAAACTGCTAAGGAGGTCTGTCTTCAAAGTTTTTACACCAAAGTAAATAATAAGTAGTCCACGTATTATCGTATGTACCTAAGTGCGTTCATTATTAAAAAATATATCTATTTTATTTTAAATTTGATAAATTATCCCATACGTGTCTGTGGTTTTTAATTTAGTACAGTGACTTAAGTATTTCTATACCCACAATAATTAATTTTATATGGTTTTCTATTATTACTTCTTACATTAAATTATTGGCAACATTTTGTAGCAAAACTTATTAATTCGATATACGTGGTTGACATGGTGCGTCGCATCATAATTTTGAATATCGGCAGGTAGATATAAGATATGCCATTATATTCCTTATTCATAGAGCTAAAGAGAGTATAAAGCTGTGTTTAACTTTAAATTTAGTAGAACTACGAGACATAGAATGTACATTGTCTGCAAAGTAACCCACTGCCTTCTGTCGTGGAATGCGTTTGTACAACAATTAACACCTTATCTACTTGCAAATAGGGACTAATTTGACTACATATGCAAAGTGGCGATTGCCATGTATAGGATTGCAGGTTGAATAATGATGCCGTCCAATGTTTACTGCGTACGCGACAGCTTTATGAAGTAGCTGGAATTTGGTTTGAGGTTTTCTGCGTATTTAAACGACAGGTGGTATCGATTTAGGTAAATAGCGGTGAATGTAAATACGCACAGACTCGATTCTCAGTTCGATAGGTATTTCGTCTACCTTAATCAAAGCCTATACATATAATATACTTACAACTATTTAAAATCGATGTTAAATTGTGATAAACTTTTTTATTAATATGATCGATGAGCCTGATTCATCGTTAAGGTATATGATCCGCCGATATTAGGACAAGCAGATCTGCAAACTGAATGCGCATGTTTAAGCCAATCAAATTAAAAGAATATGATCATTCTGAATTTTTAAATGAGACTACCATTGCCCGCGGCTCCGCCCGCGTTCAGATAACCAAAAACTAAATTCTTAGGTTTTACATATTAATATACTCTTACATTGCAGTTTTGTATTTTTTCTTAGAAATGAGATATTTTCCCGCCGTAAAAAGTATCCTATAAGTTGATCCGGATAACCAGCTGTCACCATACCTAATTTTATGAAAATCCCTCCAGTGGTTTTTCTGTGATGCGGTAACAGACAGACAGACATAAATTCTAAAAACTATACATTCGGCCTCTGTATCGATAATAATGTTTATTTCAATAAGATTTAACCAAAAATTATTTAATGTACAGATTCGGCTTAGTTACAATTTTATTATATGTATAGAAAAGAGCTCGATCCACGTTAGTTTGAACTCGGCACTATTATGATACTGCCTTCGAAGTTCGAACCTAAACAAGCACAAGGTAGTACTGTAATTTCATATGGCGCGACGCGGCGCCATCGGTGGACGCCTACGATAGAACCTTCGGCATACGATTAGAAACATTAAAAAAATTCAAATTAGTTTTTTTTCTCTTTAATTTATAATAAAAGTGTTTTATTAAAATTCAAATGATTTAAGGAGAATCAATATAAAAACATTACATGTTACGTGTTTGTGCTTTTTTGGGGGATGGATAATTAAAAAAAAACTTTCACAATTACAATAAACTGTGACAGTTGTTTTATGTGATAAAGTGCACTTATTTTGATGGACACACTTATTCCGAAAATGAAATTGGATAATTTTGGACTTGAAAAATTACAGGTTTGGGTTTTGTTCACATTATGTATTTTTTATATCCTGTTTGTAATTTACAATATTTTTTTTCCAATAATATCATATTAATATAAAAAAATCGTTTTCCCTAAATGACACATGAAAATAATGAAATTTGTATAGTACCTATAAATTTAAATGATTTATTTATTAAAAATATAAAATATTTCTCCTTGTAAATATCAATTTAGTCAGATTTACTTTCTTTAATTTTAAATAAACAAAAAATTCATGAAATCTGGTTAAATTTTGTCGTCTTAAGTACTTACTAATCTTCCTTTGCCCTTAATTAACGATATCTACTATGAAGTAATTGTTAAAACTTTCTTTTTCTATTTCATGCCTAGAATCATATATAAATACTGGGAAAAACGTAACTGGTTCTAATCTCATTAGTTATTGGTGGGAAGGTAAACTGCTTCTGTAGGTTCTTTCGAGTTCCGGCTAACATACTTAGCTTAGGTCATAACTCATAAACAAGGTGCACTATGATTTTTTTTTGTTTTCGTTAACATAAACAATACAGGTTTAAACAGCACTAATTAATTTTATGTATTGTAGAAAAGGGTAATTTTAAATCAAATGACATCTAATATGCATATCGTAAGCCTCATTACCTACTACCTTGCATTAGAGAATTTATAAACATTCATGCATTATACTTTGTAAATATTTTGTTTCAAGACAGGATCGTTGATTGTTACTTATTTATAAAGTAACTAGCGGCTCACTCTCTTCGCTCGGGGTTGCTTCTGGAATAATAAAAACAAATCCATCCCACGGGAACCGTACATTTTTCCGGGACAAAAAGTAGCCTATGTGTTATTTTTTTGATGTATAGAGTTATAATCTATATTATTGTAAGGTTTCGGTTAAGATTATTAATTTTTGCGTGAAAGAGTAACAAACATCCATTCATCTATACATCAGACATCCATAGTACCATACATCCTCACAATCTTTCGCATTTATAATATTAGTAGGATAAGTTATAGTAAAATCTCTCCATACCAGCATAATAGATAACGCCTCTCTTCTATTAAGTCACTTAATTTAAGTGAGAGTTTTTAAGAAGACATCAAGTGGTCATATTAATATTTTTTTGTAGAAATATTTAGGTAGTTTGCTTACCTACTGTTTATGAATTGAATTTTAAGCCGCCACTTATTTTTTCAGAGCGTGAAATTAAACTATCAAACAATTTTTTCGAATTTATGTCAAAATCGGTTTATCTGTTTGACAAAGTTAAGTTTAAAAACAGCCAGACACGTTTATATTAATAATTTTAATACGATAGTTAAAATGGGTTGGTACTTGGTATGGGTTAAAATCGACATCCACGAAAAAATAACATTTATTCTTTGATCTAAAGCTTTTAAAATATATGAATTGACTGATTATAAGGTACACTTTTCATATATTTATGTACTTGTAATAAAAATAATCTTAAGTAGGTAAATATTTTGTGTTACACAAGCGAAGAGATATTTAGATGTGCGTAGGAGCGGTTTATGGTCTTATAGCACAGCTCTACAGTCTTTAAAGCTGTTGGTTTAATTTTATTGAACATTATTTATTACATAATATATTACATAACATTATTTTTGTTGCTTAAAAATGTTAATAAAATAATACAAAACTAGACAGCTCCATTATGTCAGCTACAACCTACACCTGTTACCAGTACCTACTCATTTTAAAAGGTCTATGAAACGTACCTATGTAGAGAATAAAGTCACGATACCCAGATCATAAGACTGCGACAAAGATCCCAGACACAAGGCTCAATTTTGTTTTTCTTTCTTCCATCTTCTATTTTGGTTTAATTAATTTGGTTCATGGATTACATTAGCGTGACCTTAAAGTAGCTAATTCAATATATAATATCAATGAATTTGTTTGATTGTTTCGTTTTTGTGTTAATATGAATGTAAGAGATAAGTCCTGAATTCACTAGAAAGCTACATTTTTGAGAGCGATACAATTTACAAACCCTTTGGTCTTTTATATACTTATTTAATTTAATAATCGAATACTATTACACATTATCTAATATATAAAATTCTCGTGTCACAGTGTTTGTAACAAAATTCCTCCAAAACGGCTTGATCGATTCTTATGAAATTTTGTGTGTATATTCTATAGGTCTGAGAATAGGACGTTAACTATTTTTCATACCCCTAAGTGATAATATTGGTCCAACCTAGGGACAAACCTGAACGGAACGAGGGTGAGTCGCTAGTATACCTATAGGTTTAAAAGTATATTTATATTAATTTTAATATGGGAGATAACATATTGTAACTTGCATCATATCTCATCAAATGTGTAGGAAGTTTACAAATGCAAGTATAATCAAGAACTCGTTAATGCTTTGAGAGACGTGAATAACAATGCATTAATCAATATATCCTACATACTAGCGCTTGACTGAATGATAATATAATAACACGTACTGCGTACATCAGATACTCCTATTTCGATAGTATTTATGATATTTAGCGAAAGTCAGTTAGGTTAATTTTTATCTAGTCTTCGCGGGTATAGGTTTTTCCCACGATAACAGAATCCATACTTCCAGATGAAATATGGTTGAAACCCTGGGAAGGACATAGGATAATTTTTATCCCAGAAATTTTCCCTTAAAGGGGTGAAAATGGGGCAAGGGGAATCAATCATTTCTCAAGTATGGGATATTATATTTTTTATTTTATAAAGTACTTACTTACTTTTCCATACCTATATATATATATATATATATATATATATATATATATATATATATATATGCATGTACATATATATAGTCTATTCTATACTAAATGCTAAAACGTACTATTATAATTATAACTAAAATGTCTGGTCAGTAAAGTATGAGTTAATGTGATCTATCAGCTAGTCAAAATAAATGCGCACTTAAAATATTTCATTTACATTTAAATTTTAAAATGTCGTTATTATGAAGCTTTTCTTACGTCATAAGTTATAACTCTAGCCGCTGGAGTGTAGTGTTTGTAAAGATGAAATGACTGTTTTGAAATATGTTAATCCCGACATTACCTACCTAATCGAATTTTCTGTGGTTTATCATTCAAGTTTCAACTCCGTGTCCTCTGAGACTAATCTAATCTGTTTACGGTGGTACGGCTTCTACGCCTTTTAAACCTACTTTGCATTCATACATATTTTCATTAACTCTAAGGTTTTAGTTTGCGATTGATTTTCTAATAATACATATTATTATTTTTAATACTAGCATTGCCCGCGGCTCCGCCCGCGTTCAGATGACCAAAAACCAAATTCTTAGGCTTTACATATTAGTATATTTTTACAATGCAGTTTTTGTATTTTTTCTCAGAGTTGAGATATTTTGCCGCGGTAAAAAATATCCTATATGTTACCCGAAAAACCAGCTATCACCATACCATATTTCGTGAAAATCCCTCCAGTGGTTTTTCCTTGATGAAAATGCTGTCAAACTATCTTCTTACCAAATGTCATCTAAATCGGTTAAGTAGATCCAAAGATTACCCCCTACAACGTCATAAACTCACAAACTTTACCTCTTTATAATATTAGTATAGATTAAGTTCAAAATTTCATTTTAATTGCTTCATTTTAAAACTATTTTAAAATGGCTTTCATCATCCACTGATATCGTATCCTTGAACATATTCATATAAAGGATGTAAAACGGATGTAAGTGTTACTTAACATTCAGTGCATAACGTAAACTTCATGTATTATCACCGGAATTCTATTAAATTCACTCAAATAGAACATTTTTTTATGATTCATTCTTTTAATTGATGGAATGCACTAATAATGTATGCAGTAGTTAAGCGTATAGCTAATTATTCAAATATTTTCACTAAATACTTTTCTTCAATGATTTATGCGATAGTTACTTATAGATTTATATTAATACTAGCATTGCCCGCGGCTCCGCCCGCGTTCAGATGACCAAAAAGCAAATTCTTAGGTTTTACATATTAGTATACTCTTACAATTCAGTTTTTGTATTTTTTCTCAGAAATGAGACATTTTCCCGCGGTAAAAATTATCCTATATGTTGACCCGGATAACCAGCTATCATCATACCAAATTTCATCAAAATCTGTCCAGTGGGTTTCTCGTGATGCGGTAACAGACAGACAGACAGACAGACAAAAATTCTAAAAACTATAGATTCGTACTCTGTATCGATAATAATGTCTATTTCAATTAGATTTTCCAAAAAATATTTAATGTACAGATTCGATTTTTTTATTATATGTATAGACTAGAGACTCTCCCTCGATTCACTCGGGTTCGTCCCTAGTAAGAAACAAAAACAAATTATCCCACGGGAACCGTACATATTTCCGGGATAAAAAGTAACCTATGTGATAGTCTATCTCTGTGCGAAATTTTATGCAGATCCGTTTAGCCGTTCTGGCGTGATTGAGTAATAAACATCCATCCATCCTCACAAACTTTCACATATAATATTAAGTATGGATATGGATTAATGGGATTTTGCTCTCAAATTTCAAAAAAATGTCAAATATATTTGTTTTTAGACTTAATTAGGTGATATTAGTACTTGTTTATTTGCCAGCTCACTTTCGTCTATTCAAACTAAATTCAAAGTGAATCTTGATACAAACATGATACTATTAGACATTAGTAATGCAACGCCTTAACTTTGCATGACAATAGATTGATGTGAAGAATTTTGATGGATTTCTTATCGTGGTAACTTGAACTGTGAGTTGGCTGAGGTGCCTCTTTGTAATTACGATGAGTTGATTCGATTGAGATTACTATTATGACTATTACTAGATAGTTGTAATAAAATATGTTAAATCAATATTAGTGTAAGTATCTACTAATATTATAAAGAGGCAGAGTTTGTTTGTTTGATTGAACGCGCTAATCTCTGGAACTACTAAGCAGATTTGAAAAATTTTGCAGTCAAAAAATCGGGCAGACTTCCATACATTAATGTAAAACTGATGTTTATAATCAAAAAAATTTAACGCGGGTGAAACCGTGGGGTACAGCTAGTCTATAATAAAACTGTAACAGAATTAAAGCTACACGTTAATTATTATTGATGTAAATAGTGTTCAAAAGGACGATATAGGATTTTTGGTCTGTCAAAAACGAATGGATGGAATGTGACCGAAGTGGGAGTCATGATAATTGGCCGACGGCCGTGCGTGCACCATACTTACTGTACGTAGCTTATCCACGAAAAGGTATAATACGACCTTACCTCAGTATTATTACAAACAATACAAAAAATGAAAGCTTTGCATTGTCTTTGCTACTCTAAAAATGTAGCCTCTAAGTATAGATTTTTACTCAGTAACTAAAAATAAGCAAATAAATCAAAAAATAATCTGTACGATAAAATTATAATAATAATTTATGAACGGGCTTACAAATTAAACCTTTAAATTCCCTTTTGAATACGAAAAACCTTCAAATGTGTCCATTACCGATTGCCGATGGCTATGTAATAGGATTTCTAACCAGATTACGATAAGTTGCGCAACCGTAATATCGGTATGGCTAACAAAGTAACAAAGGGTTTTTTTATGCAATATATCGCGCTATTTCCCGTTAATATATCTAGGTCAGCTATCGAAGGCTATGTATGCTGGTCTGACCAATGTTTTTTTTGCGTAATTAATGGATAAGCTTAGTAAATTACCTAAGGGTTTATACTTTAAGTGTAATTATTTATTAGGCTATAACACATTAAAAAAATAAAGAGTGCTTGTATAAATGTGTACACGTGCACGAATTAAACTTTTATTGTGCATGCAATTTATGTTTTAAATAATTAGGATAGGTGAGATACTAAAATACCGTGTGTGTGTTTCCTTATGTACGCACGTAAGAAGTTATACCTCTTTGGCGTAATAGAACAAAAATACCTAAAGATATCCCGTATGTCACAACTCTCTGTTTGAAAAGGAATGATACATTTTAATAAAAATAATTAAATAACGCATATTTGGCATAATATAATCATATATTTATATAATATCGTTTAGGAAAAGAATATAATATTAGGTATATATCATTTGTCAGACAATAACAACGGTTACCATGGAAACAAACGTTCGCCTCTCCCGATCACACTTTTCGTAACGCTCTCGTCACGCATTCACCAGCTTACTCTCCAAGAAACGTGCGTAAAGAAGTTTTACTTCAAAAATATAATTTTCCATTACTACATCTTCTCCCTGCCCATTTCCCAATCACTTGGGGTCGGCGCAGTACATCTTCTGTACTGCTGATAGGATTTGGCAAAGGTTTTACGACCGGCCGCCTGCCTGACGTCAAACCTCCTTGGGAATTTCCATTACTACATATATGCAAATAATGCCACATAGTTCCATGTTATATCCCTTGCCATGGTAGCCAAATAGAGTGCCAAGTTCTACAATCTCTAAAATGTATTATATGTACATAGCTCTCTCTCTCTTCCAGTATAATTATAATTCTTTACAAATACGTACGTTAGGAGAACTTATGACGTCACTTTCTTAAGTGTAATCAATACTTATTCTTTAAAAGTCCTTCGAGTTCTGTCCCTCACTGTATATTCCATTCATAGTAATGACTTGTAGTACATATATACTTTGTATGTCTTTGTGATTGTTGTTTTTACATGCCCAAACCACTAGAGCGTATTTTTTTTCATTATGAATTAATATACATACTTTCATTATAATCTGCCACGCTACGTCTCTTCATTGCAATTTTATCAGCAAACTGATGCCGCGCAGTCTTCTAAGAGATCGCATTTCTATTACATACGTCTAACTTTCATACTACATGCATTTTAACGTTTTGTTGCTGTGTAATAGAGTACCTTCGTAAATGGTAATCTGCATATGGTTTGTAAATATTGTAAGTACCTATCTATATTGTTTTAAATAATACTATCTTTTCGGAATTTTTCGTGGATATATTTTGATTTTTGGTTCCTGAATTTTCGAATGCTTTACAACATTCATGGACACGGGAAGTCTCTTCTAGTCATTTTTTTTAATTTAAAATGTCAAATATTCACGTAAATCTAAGTAAGTATTATTATCTATATATTATGTTTTAAGATATTTATTCCAAATGAGTCAATAATTACAACTATTTCACGTAATTTAGGTCATTACTAACATTCTAGTAGTGTAGGTAATCTGAGAAATAGGGAAGGGCAGGCTGAGTATCCATTGCACTTTGCAGTTCAAACTTGTTTCTTTGTTTACACAACTCGCTTTGATCCTTTGTGAAAAGCCTCATCAAGCTCAGATTACAATCTACTGTTATGTTTTAGAAATGAGTTAATACGACTTTATGGCTTTTTATCTGAGTTGTTGAAAAATACTAAAGTTTGTTATTGAAGTTATGTAATTATTTTTCTTGTAGTACAATCTCTTTGACTTCTATTAATTTTAACTAGCATGGCTGGTTACTTTAGACTTATATTTATGAAAATGAAATATACATATTTAATTTTATTTAGTCTAACTTAAAGTAGACTGTAGATAAGGGAGTCATTTAAACATATTTACAGACATATCTCAAATATACAATATCGATTAAACGAATCAACATTTATGAAACAAGTGAATATCCGCATCCTTTTTATATTTTTTAAATACATTCCTATCAGCCAAGGTCACAAAAATAAATGCTTTATACATAAATTATTACAAATTAATCAAATATATTATTTTTTCATTAAAACGCTCATATATAATGCAACCTTACACGATTATATGTTTAATCGATGAAAAGGTACAAAACAACCTGATAGATGGAGAATTTTTTAACCTAGTCATAATTATTATAATTTTTCATGACCATTCGTTTCCGCCCGCGTTGAGATGACCAAAAACCAAATTCTTAGGTTTTACTTATTAGTATACTCTTACATTGCAGTTTTTGTATTTTTTCTTAAAAAATAGATATTTTTCCGCGGTAAAAAGTATCTTATATGTTGACCCGTATAACCAGCTATCACCATACCAAATTTCATCAAAATCCCTCAAGTGGTTTTTCTGTGGTGCGGTAACAGACAGACAGACATACAAAAATTCTAAAAACTATAGATTCGCCCTCTGTATCGATAATAATGTTTATTTCAATAAGATTTTCCAAAAAATATTTAATATACAGATTCGGCTTAGTTACAATTTTATTATATGTATAGATAAATGTTATGTTTATTGTTCGCAGACCGCGGAACGTAGCTCCGGCTGGGAAACACACAGGGTTCGATTAAACAGGGTGCCTGGCTACGGTTTCGGTATCGCCGTGTCTGGGGGTAGAGACAACCCGCACTTCGCGAGCGGCGACCCTTCCATTGCTGTTTCTGATGTGCTGAGAGGTGGTCCTGCGGAAGATAAACTACAGTAAGTATACTTACGACAAACTCCATTATCCTATCTATTCATTGGTTTTCTTACTAGCGATATGAATTTGACATATTATGCAATATATGTAAAAAAAAATCTCAGATCAGGATCCACCTTTCTTAGTTAAAACTCATATTGTGAAATTTTTGTTGACTCGTTACAATTTTTCTTCTGAAATTTGCAATAGGAAATTTAAATACAGTTATAAAATATTTTTATTTCAATGTTTTTTTTCTTAAAGAAATAATTATGCCTATATTCATATTAAAGTCCCATTGATGTTAATATGATATTTGTACAAGAACATAAACTTATTTGCAAAATAATGACTAAAAATATAAATAATTTCTAAAATAAATCAAAATATGTTGGAATATTAACACACAGCACCATCTAGTTCCATGGTAAGCTTATGAGGCTTGTGTTATGGATACCAGATAGTTGATACACTACACATATATAACTTTAAATATAAGCATATTATAAAATATTAACACCCATGACTGGAGTACAAACATTTGTGCTCATCACACAAATGAATGCCTCCAGCGGGACTCGAACCCGCGACCGCTGGCACGGCAAGTAGGGTCACTACGGACTAAGCCAAACGTGTCGTCAAAATGAATGATTAAATGATTTAATTTAATTCTTATGTCAAATCAAACCTCTTTGGGCATCATTTTATCAACATAGAGTACACTTAACAGTATAATCATTATTATTAAAAAAGCTATATATAATATGTATTTTCAGAGTAAATGACAGGATAGTATCTGTAAACGGAGTGCCTTTAGAGAATGTGGAATACGCGCGGGCGGTTCAAGTTCTACGGGAGTCTGGAGCAACAGTATCTCTTGTGGTTCGGAGACGAGCTCCGGCCCCACCACCGACCGCCCCCACCACCATTAAGTTGGCACTCACTAGGAATGGGAAGAAAGAAGGTTGGAAATAGTTCCTTTTCTAGTATTAGCAATTTGGCTTGACCAGTATGGTTTTTAACCCCCGATGCAAAAAGAGGGGTGTTATAAGTTTGACGTCGATGTCTGTCTGTGTGTGTGTGTGTGTCTGTGGCATCGTTGCTCTTAAACGGATGGACCGATTTCGATGCAGTTTTTTTTTCATTTGAAAGCCAGTTTCCTTGCAGTGGTTTTTAACTATGTTTGATTAATATTGGTCCAGCAGTGTAAAAGTATCAGCTCTTTTCCAAAATGTTGTAAGGCATTTTGGCGTATGATTACTCAATAAAGTGCTTCACGCGTGCCAGTGTACTCGTTAAATGACAATTAATTTGCGTAGGGGGATTTTTAAATTTTTAATGGACGCCTCGCATTGAAAGAAGATCCGGACACCTATGAGACGTTAAGAAAGGCTGAATACATTTTGTTATTAAAAATGGAGAATAAAAGTCTTTTTAATACTTAAAATAAAGAAAAATATGTTCATTCTGTGTTTTTTATATTAATTACTATGTACTTACCTATTATTACCAAACCTGTACAACAACAGTTAAAAAGTTTAAAAAACTTCACTTTAAATGAAACCCTACTAAGGGCTAAGCATTCAAATCTTATGTTAATTACTTACCAGTGTAAGTAACTGTAATTACACTATTATAATAATTACGCTACATGTAGAGTATGTAACGAGATTTCATAATGATACCTTTGGCATTACGTTACCAACGTCTATGACTGCAAGGACTTTAATTTTTTTGCCAGTTTTAATATATGCGTACTTATATACATTGCTTAGAAAAGAAAACAATATATTATATATCTAATATATACACTTCAAGTAAAATTTTTTTCTTTGTTTTAAAATTAGGAGCAATTTCGAATGTATTAATTAATATTTTATGTTATTTCAAATTAAATGTATGTACCGTTTTAGGAAATAAACTCTAACTCTATCGAATTTCAATTCCAGATTTTGGCATCGTTCTTGGCTGCAAAATCTATGTCAAAGAGCTAACAATGCGAGCAAGAGAACAGCTAAACCAAGCTGGTCAAGGATTATGTGAAGGAGATGTTATTACTCGAATCAATAACACAGCAGTAACAGACGCAATGACTCTGAAGGAAGCTAAGAAGCTCGTTGAGTCTTGCAAGGACAGACTCAATCTGGTCATCACTAGAGAACTTATAAGAGAAGAGACTGTGACCAATGGGAATTACAATCAAAACAATTATAGTAGCCTAGGTATGTATTTTTTTTTAAATATGTTGGGACATTAACACACAATACCATCTAGTTGAAAGGTAAGCTACGAGGCTTGTGTTATGGATACCGGCTAGTTGATACACTACACAAGTAAATAACTTTAAATACATACATATTATAAATATAAACACCCATGACTGGAGTACAAACATTCGTGCTCATCACACAAATGAAATGCCCCAGCGGGACTCGAACCCGCGACCGCTGGTACAACAAGTACGGTCACTACAAACTGAACCAGACGTGTCATCAATTGAAAGTTAATCAAATTTTAGTTATTGTTTATGACTTCTTAAATGTATAGTTACAGCTTTGAGTGGAAAAAATGTATTTTAAATACATTACGTATTTAAAGTAATTCCGAGACAAATGGTCATATATGAATCACTAGTTATTAGTATATAGTTATTATATATTATAGTTATTATATATTAGTGGACAATAAAAAATAATATTATGTCAACCCCCTATAATGCAATTAACAAGCAAAATAAGGACAGCTCTACTAGTATTATAGAAAACCTATTAGTTACGGAACTAACACCCATGACGCATACTTTATTAAACCCGTTTCCATTATTGACGGTATCCTTAACCTCAGTTGGCCTTCTCTTGCGTAATGTGATATTTAGACAATCACAATGTATGTTATATCCTTGGCACTTTGTCTTTAAGAAAGCTTAGAAAAATGAAATTTATCATTTATTTTACTAAATTAAATTTCTAATAATACACTACTCGTATTATTTTTATATTTTATATAATATTATAAATGTGAAAGTTTGTTAGTATGTATGGATGTTTGTTACTCTTTCACGCCAGAACGGCTGAACGGATCTGGATCAAATTTGGCACAGAGATAGATTATAGTCTGCAATAACACATAGGCTAATTTTTATCCTGGAAAAATTTACGGTTCCCGAGGGATAGGTTTCTTTTTGTTTTCTTTGAGGCGAACCCGAGCAAAGCGAGGGTGAATCGCTAGTAAGGATTTTTTTTCGTCTTAAAGATATTTCCAACAATATTTTACTAGCATTATACCTTTAGTTGCTTAAATGAAATATTTGTAATCTTTTTCTATATTTGTAATCTTATATTTTTATCTATGTTAGAAAAAAAGATTATCACTATCTTCTTCTTTCTTCTAAATTTTTTGTTTGTAAGGAAATGTGCGAGCACTATTTAATTTTAGCAGATACGTTGTAAGATTCTATTTTTGCAGTAAGAGCGTGACTCCACTGAGCCATCTACTCCATGTGTATACATATTTTTTTTAAATAATCTAGGATAATAGGGTAATTTCTTCTAAACAATGTTCTTTTTACATACAGATTTCTCATCTTCAGAGGCTACACCTCACACAACGTTCCCGAACAGTGGTGACAATTTGTCATCACCGTATTCTAGCAGTGGACAGAACTTATATGTAGCGGCGCCAGTACGAAGTGACAATAGACGAGGAATGTCTCATGATGAACAGCCTCCAAGGCCACCTCCTCCGAGGAGTGACGGTATATATGGCTTTTTAACTTTGATATATCGACTGATTCGTTGGTTAGTGGATAGCATTAACTTCTGCAGATCCAGTGGTCATGTGTTCGATTCAAGTGTGGAGTTTTTTTGCTAGAAAATTCTCAGTAACAGCCCGGTGGGCAGTTAGCATGGAAAGAACGTATCGCGTTGGTCCTATGCCTGTACTTTCACCGTGAATTTCGAACTATGGTCACATCGTAGTATGAGAGTTAAAAGAATAAGGATTGCACTTGTGTTTGCGCCAATACTTGTGCACTATACATTTTCTGTGCAGATGCATAGTATAAGTGAGACTGGCCGCCATGATCGAAATCGGTCATAAGAAAGTTATATTTCGATATATGTACATACATATAATTTTTTTTTATATTCTTTATGTAGTATGTACAGATTATTTTTCTATTGTCTTATCTTTACATTAATTTCATTGTTTCTTGTATGTAGTATGAATTATTATAGATATATTAATATTTTCAGATTACTACAGTAGTCGTAGGCAATTATATGAAGAGGATGGCATGACCAATCAAAGAAATAAGCCACCGTAAGTGTTTAATGTATATCTATACTAATTACTATATTTTCAATATATATTTTACTAGCAAACCTTGAAACCACGCCACAAAAGAGCATTAAAAAATTGGTTGGAAAATAAAAAATAATTGGATGTCGACAACTACGCTATCTACTCGGTGAAACTATAGCTTGAAGCCATCCATGTGGCCATGCCGCTGTTTTTGCTGTTCGCTTATACTAAATACTTCGCCATTGTCGTCTACCTAAAAATTAACTGGGGTTAGGCAATATGTCATTATGCAAACATTGAAGCAAAGAATGCGATAGTTCTACAACGCTTTAACTTCCAAACTGTTCGCCATAAAATTGGTGTTTTTGGACATCCGCAGCACACTGCGCTGCATTTGACAACGTTTCCGTTAAAATAAACGGGCCTAATATACAGGTTTTCATATGATGCTAAAATGTTACCGTCCAATTCCATTCCAGGAGTGAACCGCGACTAATAAGCTTCCAGAAGGAAGGGTCGGTGGGGCTGCGGCTGTGCGGCGGCAACCGCTCCGGCGTGTTCGTGTCGGGCGTGCAGGCCGCCAGCCCCGCCGCGCTGCAGGGCCTGCAGCCCGCGGACAAGATACTTAAGGTAATCCGGACTAGGATCGGAAATGTGGATGTGTGTGTGTGTGTGTATGTGTTTGTGCTTCTGGGAGTGGCTACGCACGTGTCTGTGTGACACGTGGGAGAAATATAGTACGCAGTTAGACTATGACCTAGAGTAACATATGGGCTACTGTAGGCTAGGTATAAAAAGTAAGTGAGGCTATGTTATAAAAATTTTAACGTCCCACTATTGGAAACGGGCTTCCTGGAATATGCACTGTGCATATTAATTTTTTACATAAACTTGTACGTTTTGTTTGATAGAAAGGATTTAGACCGTTACGATACTTTTCTCAAATAAATAAATCATTCAACAGAATAACAAAAAAGCTAATATTATAAACAGAATAACATTTAAATATATTTATTTTAAAGGTGAACGACATGGAAATGAAGGGTGTGACTCGGGAGGAAGCGGTACTGTTCCTGCTGAGTCTACAGGAGAGGATAGACCTCATAGTGCAGCACTCGCCGGAAGAATACAACGCGGTCGCTAGTGGGCAGATCCGTGAGTTTTTTATGAGTTCTATACTTTCAAAAAACTTTAGTATACTCGCATGCCTGGATCGTAGGTGGAAAATTACACATATACATAACTACTCATACATGCATACACACATACATACGTATATATTTACACCGAAATTGCACTTCTTTATTCTTGTTATATATACCTAGATGTAAATTTTTAATATAGCACGTTGATACAATAACAATAAGACAATAACAAAAAGAATCACGCTATCTCTTAATTGCATCTTAGTCACGAAAATTAAAGCTAGCACTAACACATTTATATAAAAAACTCCAGATACACAATTAGCGTCTCAAAAGTGCCCTCAAAAAGAAGTGAGGAATTCGAAATTGAATTACGCATTTTTTAAATCTCTTTTGTTCATTGCTTGCACGTTGTTAGAACTTTAGATTTTTTAATTTTATTCTTTGGTTTGACTTAACGTCGCATGTCGACGCCACTTTTTGCAGATTATATTTGTTGACAAATGTGTATCTATGTATGTTTTTATACATCAAAGACTATATATAAATAATCTTAATGGCAGGCAGGTAATGATTTAAATGATATAAAGAATACCCGTGTCTATTCCAGCGGGAGATTCCTTCCACATCAAAACCCACTTCCACTACACGGAGCCGACGGAGGGCGAGATGTCGTTCCGCTGCGGAGACGTGTTCCACGTGCTCGACACCCTGCACAACGGCACCGTCGGCGCCTGGCACGTGTACCGGATAGGTGAGGCTTTACGTATTTAACATGATACGATATGTATGTAGGTTCATTGTTTTTGGCTTTTGATTTCAATTATTGTAATTGACTTTTGTTAATTGTTTGGTGTGAATTTGACGTTTGCATTCAGAAGATGTTGTCTTCATACAGAAGAGTGAAATCTATAATATCGGCCTTGCATATTTGTTGTATTTTTATGTTACTTTGTGTCGAAGGTCCATAAGTTTAAAAAATTGAAGTGTATGTTGTGTAATGTCAAAATAATAGCGTTTCACTAAATGCATATGAAATTATATACGGTACGGTACGGTATACCACATTTTTTTTTATTTTTGTCTGTCTGTCTGTTTGTTTGTGCCGGATGATCTCTGAAACAGCTGTACTGATTTTGACGGAACTTTCACTGAAAGATAGGTGATGTTATAGGGAGTAACTACTTTTATTTTAGAAAAAAATAATTAAAACGTATTAGGGACGAGCCGAGCGAAGTGAGGGTGAGTCACTAGTATTTAGTAAAAAAATATCATATTTGAGACATAGGTTTTACATTTTGTCTTCTCGAATGAGTGGTCAATACACAAAATCATTAAAAACTAAAAAAAGAAAGATTTTTCCAAAATAACTTTAAAGTTGTTTTTTTTATAGTTAAAGGGTGAAAAAGACCCTCCACTATAGTATAAAAAAACATCAAACAAAGCGCTTTTCATCTTTAAAATTAAATTAAAAAAAAGCGGAAAGTGTAAACATAAAATATTATGTAATCAACCAGGCCGCAACAACCAGGAGGTGCAGAAGGGCACGATCCCGAACAAGGCGCGCGCGGAGGAGCTCGCCACGGCGCAGTTCAACGCCACCAAGAAGGAGCTGTCGGGCGCCGACGCCAAGCACTACTTCTTCCGCCGCCGCCGCTCCACGCACCGCCGCAGCAAGAGTCTGGGCAAGGTGAACAGATTATACATAATAAATTATAAAAAAAATTATATTATTAAAATCTTAGTACATATTGTTCATTTTGTAATAACAAAAAATATTTTTTTTAATAAAAAAAATCGAAATTTTTTGTGTCATAGTAATCGGTAAATTTGTATAAAAATATTTATAAAAATATGTGATCGTGTACAATGTATGTATCTACATATTATTCATATTATTGCTTTTTATGATTTTATATCTTATTGCCGTATAACGTAGCTTCGATGACAACACAATAATTAAATATATGAAGCTAATTCGATAATATAACCGGAATTTGTACAATGGAACGGTCCACCACGAACAGGAGCACTGGGACGAGGTGGTGCTGTCGGACAGCATCAGCAAGTTCCCGGCGTACGAGCGCGTGGCGCTGCGGCCGCCGGCCTTCGTGCGCCCCGTCATCGTGCTGGGCGCCGCCGCCGACGTCGCGCGCGCCCGCCTGCTGGCCGACTGTGCCGACAAATTCGCTTCGCCACGTAACGTCTTACATTTTATTTGACGACACGTTTGGCTCAGTTTGTAATGAGTCTACTCGCTGTGCCAGCGGTCGCTGGACAGAATTCGTTGTGATGACCTATATACAATATATAGAATGTGATAAAAATATTGCTATCTAGCGACTCACCCTCGCTCGGTTGCTTCCCCATACAAACTTTCACCCCCATTTTCACCCCCTTAAGGGATGATTTCCCGGATAGAAACTATCTTATGTCCTTCCCGAGGTCACAAACTATCTTCTTACCAAATTTCATCTACATTGGTTCAGTAGTTTCAGGGCCTATTCAATACAAATAAACAAACAAAAAAATCATTTTTTTTCTCTCTATAATATTAGAATAAATGATTCAAAATAAATGTTTAACGAATATGTAACTAATATTTTTTAAATAAAATTTATTTTTTAAACATTACTTAGAAATGGACAACACGTTAGAAGATAGTAAGTCGAAGTCGACCGGTATCATCCGACTATCGAGCATCAGGAGTATAATGGAGAAAGGCAAGCACGCACTATTGGACATCACGCCGAACGCTGTCGACAGACTCAACTACGCCCAATTTTACCCCATTGTCATATTCTTGAAAGCAGACAGCAAACATATTATAAAACAATTAAGAAGTCGTTTACCCAAGTGAGTATTTTATTTGTATTTTGTTGTCTTCTGTTGTTATAATAAAATAAATTTTATATAAGGTAAGATCAATATGTTTAACGAGGAGAGTTGTTCTACAGCAAAAAACGTAACGAGTTAATACCAGTCCCGATGAGTTTCTTTCGCCAGTTCTTCTCAGGTCTGACGCTTCTTCTTTCCGAACTTATAGTAGAATCATGGCGTTCAGTAAAAAATTGTAATAATTTTTAATGCTGAATAAAATATTTTAAATTTTGAATTTGAATTTAGAAAAAAAAGAGCTGTGTAGAGAGTTGGGTAGACGCTATCCTGTCCAAATTCAATTAAGGTTTATAATCTTTAAGAGTCTATACGAATAAGCTTTTCAGTTTTTCTCAATTTTCCGGGCATTTTATTCCAACTTTTTCTCTAAAAACCTCATTTAGATTTTTACGAACATATAAAAAATAGGCCAAATGCGTCCAGCCCTTCACGTGAAGTGTTTACCAACGAACAGTATTTTATTTTTATACCTAAATATGTCTCGGGTTATTATCATAACATGATAACCCCTTATATATTAACAATAATCATTGATAATTATTATCTACCACCAGATCAGCCCACAAATCCTCAAAGAAGCTTCTAGAACAATGCCAGCACATGGAGCGCGTGTGGGGCCACGTGTTCACGCACACCATCACGCTGTCCGACGCCAACCTTAACACGTGGTTCGGCAAGCTGTGCGAGCTGGTGCAGCGCACGCAGGCGCAGAAGCTCTGGGTGTCCGAGACCAAGGTCAGTGGACGGAATGGATCTGAATGAATGAGTTGTTGAATGAATGGAATATGTGTAATGTGTTGAGTGATATGAATCGTGATCACGGAATTTATAGGTCAGTTTAGGATATTGGGGAGAGTGAATATTTTTCACACATATAAAGTTATTTGTTGGTTAGTGGAATAGTGTATAACTTGCATATGTCGAAATTGTACATTTTATCGATTCGTGCTCACGATTCGTTTCGACATACACATTCAATGTTGGTTAGATATCAAAGTTAGTTATACTATGACTGTTTGTAAAGCATTTCAGTGGTTAGACAGTTATCAACTGTAGTAAACAAATACCATTTTTTTCTTTCAATTTACCTTATAAAATTAATTCCGCCACCTCTAGCATTATTGGATAAATGAATATATAGAGAAATGTTTTGTGTTTTGGTATGTTTTAAATGTTTTAGCAAGGTCATAGTATATCTCATATATCATAATTTATATAAAATTTTATTATGCTATAACTATTTATGTAATTTGTTATCGATTAGAGTCTTTTCATATGGTTTTATTAAATATCAATCCTTAGTAATTAAAATGATTACTTCAATAAAATCGACAGTTAAAGGCATCACGCTTCAAGATAATTGCTTGGTAAAGGTACTGGGTGCATTCGTATAGTTTATATCATATATGCTCTATGTAACTCTATAAAGAAGTATAACGGTAAAAAAATAATTAAATAATAATAAACCCTATGTTGTACACACAAAAAGAAATTACAAAACCATTCTTCACACATATTTTATAGAAAAAAAACTTATTCTAATGCCGTTATATTTCTTTTTATCTGTATTTACGTACAAGGCATATTAACCAATTTCTTTCTGTTCTGTCTTGCGGTGTAGCACGTTGAAATGGTGTCGGACATATATTTTCCACAACCGCCATCCCCCTACCCCGCCTTCTATCCCATATCTTATCCCATCAATTACTATCCGCCATCTCCACAAAAACCACGCACGAACATGTCTCCATCAAACTCGAATACTAACCACACTAATCGCCACGATATTTATGATGCTAATAGAAATCATGTGGTTCCATATTACTACTCTGAAACAATGCCGTGCATGCCTAATAACATGTATAATGTGCCTAAATCTTATCCTCATAGAAACAGACATGGCTTATTCAGTTCATACGACGAGAGACAAAATTTCCAAAGATCGAAAATGAACCCTAGGTTACAAAATTCCAGCATCAGTCCAGAACTTTCCCAAATTTTCAATAAAAGTAATACTTCTCAACCATACAGGCCATACAGTGTTTTGGAAACGTCTACGAAATCTCCTGTGCCAAATATACAAAGACCAACTTCGGTTGTTCCAATATCTGATAACTTTAGACCAGCTTCATTATTTTTCAAAGATGAATTGGAAAAGTCCAATGAAGTACCAGAATGGAAAGCTCGTCTTCAAAAAGAGATGCCTATTCGGCCTATATTGGACAAATCTATGAAAAAAATTTGCTTGATTCCCAATTGTAAATGCAATGACAAACCAATCAATAATCTTAGATATAGCGAATCTCGGACTCTTCCATCTGCCTCAGTCAGATCTCTTGACAAAGTCAAAAATCTTTCTTTGCCAACTCTCAAGTTGGATGAGTTGGACAAAATAGGAAAAGATGAGGATAGTGCGGAAAGAGATGATGGCTTAAATAAACCTGTATCAGAACAACATTTAGGTTACGTTTAGTATTAACATTTAGAATAAATTCACTTGAAACGTTACCACTAGACTAATGTTAGTTTCTATAAATACTAATATCTAACACAATATTTTTCCGCATGCTGCTTATACTGACTTTGCTTGTATATTCTCTTGGTTATCTCAATTAATAATCTTTGTGCTTTTTATTAATTAAATGTGCATTTTATGTTTTTTTTTACAGAAAAATCGCTTTATAATTTTTGTGAATATTGTTTTGTCCCTTATTGGCCTTTAATCAAATAAACAGTGTGAATAATTTGTAAATACAATCAGAGATCAATGTGATATACCATGTTTGATAATAATAATAATAAATAAACATTCAAATAAAACGCTACATGCGAATTTCAAAAGTTTGTTTAAAAAAATTTCAACTTTTATTTGAATGTCGATTTTCGTGTGAACCTTGCATTAATCATTGGCAGACGCTAATTTTTTTTTAGTATCTGTATAAATTGAGCAATCATTCATTTGTCTTGTCTTATCACCCCATTCCATACCCACCCTCGACGCTGCTCAAAAACGGAAAACAAAATGGCGGAAATTCAAAATGGCGGGAACAGAGGCCAGAGCCGTTGTCCGACGACTTTTTGTTCTCCATGTCGTCGAGTTCGGAGAATAGATTGTCATACGCGTCTAGTCCAGAAAGTGACTTAGAAGTGAGTCCACCAGCGCCAAGATTAGTGAAATCTTCTTCGGACCCCTCGATAGCAACTACGCAAGATAACATGGACCATGACGACGATATCAATCAAATGGCCGACGCAGTACCTCCGCCTTATTCGGTAAATACTCATTACATATCGATCGTGAGGGTCGATCAGCTACACATTTAAAAAAAATGTGACATTAATGTTTGTTTAAAATAGTTTACTGTTATGTAATATTACAATAATTACGTGGCTGATCGTGCCTTTTAATATTCATATATTCATTTGTTATGTTCGTGTGTCAACATGATTTAAAAAGTTTAATATAGCTTTACAACTTTGGAAAGGAAAGTTAGGAAATAGTAACGAAAGCATAAGATAGTAAAAGTTCCTTATATTATATATTGGCAGTTAAAAGGACTTTTAGTGTAAATTCAACGTTATTTCCAACTAAATAAAGTCCATTTTATAACAGCAAGGTGGCTACGATAGTAAATACGGGTTCGCAAACGGCAACGCGCAAACCAACGGCAATCAGAGCTTGCCGAATGAGACGCCGTACCAGTGCATGCCGATGTCGAACTCTCCCCCACATTCACCTTTATATGGGACTGGTGAGTTGAGAATTATCCTCTTAAATTGATTCTGTTGATTGATATTAGCATTTTGTTTTATACCTAGGTATGTAACTAAAATATTTATTTAATACTTTCTTAGATTTACGCGAATATTTGACATTTTAAATAAAACTATCTTTTCGGATATTTTCGCGGATTTACAAAATTCTGTTAATTGTGAGTAGGCTGTCTGTAACAACTATACCTTCGAGACATGTAACACCTCATTCTCTCTCGTGACCATGATTGCTGTAAAGCATTCTAAACGTCGGGAACCAAAAATCCTAATAAATCCGCGAAAAAATCCAAAAAGATAGTTTTATTTAAAATAAAATATTTATTATTTTATTTTATCCCTATATAATACATATTAAAAGGATAACTGCGTCCAATTGAATTTCTGAATCCAACTGAAATGCGAAACCATAATATGATCAGATTAGGCGGCTAATAGCCATAATTGAATATGGTTCAATTTCATTTCTGTGGAAATAAAATAATCTCGAATGTGATATTTGCCATTGAGAGACATAAGAAAGCGTTTAAGTAAAACTTGTAGTTGACTTTAAAAAATAAAGAGGTGGTCAGTGATTATTTTCTGCGTATACGTTCGGTAATTGTCAACTGATTTCATTAATTTTCAAGGGTAACTAACTTTTCTAATAAAACATCCACGAATAATTAAAAAGGTATATCGATTTTGATGTCGATATAACTTTTAATGTAATAGTAACATCAGAAATAAACAATACCTAGTTCCAGAGCTGCCCCCGCGCAGCGCGGCGGTGACGCGGCCGCCGGGCGGCGTGCTGCTGCCGGCGCCGCCGCCCACGCGCCACCACGGCCTCCGGCATAACCCTGCGGTGAGCTGCTTTTTATTATATATATATATATTATTAAACAATATTGCGGGTCGTTATAATAAAGATAATTGAAAACAAAAACATTGGTAATGTATGGTTTATATGTCTGTATATTTTGTGTATGCGATATTAAGGCAGTTTTAAACTTCATCTTACACTTTAAGCGATTAATTATAATATCCTCAATCCTCATGATATTTAATGTACTTGTAATAAATATTAATAGAAAACAAGTAAATGTTTATATTTGTCATTAACGGTTGCGATTAAAATAACTACTTATAAAAACAAACTAAAAGGTATACTCTATCATAGAACCGTCCAAGTGCCCAAGAGCGTCTGTTCGGGCCCAAAGAGAGCGAGGAGGCGGCCACGTACAGCGCGCGCCCCGCGCACGGGCAGGGCTCCTTGGACAGGCACAGGCATCCTAATAACCCTGTGAGTATATATTATGTATATATTATACCTGTTCATATATAGTATATATTATATCTGTTCATATATTATGTTTATTGAAGTGAAAACTTCTATAGGCAGGTTTGGATGGGGAGTAAATTCATATAAGTCCTCATCGACATGGTCACGTGACGTGCTAACGCTAACACGCACAGTGTCGAAAGACATCAAAATCAGATAAATGTTAACAGTTTTAATTAACAATTTTTAATTTAAGATCAAACAATTAATGTGAATATCCAAAAATAACAACTGTTTGTTTATAGTAGTACCTAGTAGTGCTTTTTTATATATTGTTATGTTTTTTCTTTTATATTTAACTTTTTAATAATTATTGAATAAAACTTATTACACCGTCACGGAATACTTTGTAGAAGTCAATGTGTGGGATTAACGTCTGGTTGGATCTCATGTCGGATATGTAGGTAATTATTATATTGGAATATTGTAAGCAAATACTGCCATCCGAGCTGGTGGTAGATTCTTCACTGACTTATATACTGACATATAATTTAAATTAAAAAAATATTAAAAAGTGACATTTAAGTGCATTGCCAATGAATTGCGTACTCTTTTAGCTTAAAATGGGTTTTTTAAACATTTTACTGCACACTTAAATAGTACATTACACATAATACAATAAATTAAATTTACAAAAGCTTTTTCACTAATAATAAAGACAACTAACAATAAAGGATTCATATTATAAGTGTAAAATACTAATCAAACCATTTATTTCTTGTACAGCAAAACTCGTACGAGGGCAGCCCCGCGTACGAGTACAGCGGCAACCCGGCGGGCGCGTGCCGCCTGCCGCCCAACGCGCCCGACGACCTCAAGGTTGCGCCTACTATGTGAGTTTTACATTACATTTGCTATATTATTCATTTGTACGTTTTAAATAAGACTCTCCTTATCGGATTTTTCGCGGATTTATTTTGATTTTTGGTTCCCGACGTTTCGAATGCTTTACAGCATCCATGGTCACGGGAGAGACCCGTCTCTCCCGCGACGAAAAAGTAGTCCTATTTAAAATCTCAAATATTCGCGTAAATCTAAGAGAGCACACGTTTTAATTTTTTTTAAACAGACAAACAGACAGACAAAAATTTAAAAAATTGTTTTTTTTTTTATAAATACCGCATATTCCATATGCATCTAGTACGAGTAAAAAGCCGTTATTTTGACATTACAAATGGACACTTCAATTTTATTTATCTGTATAGATACCTTACATTAAGTATAAGTAATTATTACTCGTCCCGCCCCCGCAGCAAGCTGGAGGCGGCGGCCGCCGCGCACGACCACAGCTCGCTGGACTACCCGCGCGCAGACACTTACCGGTCAGTTCGCACTTCGCTGTTCTTTGTTGCACATACTTTTATCTACGTTTTAATCCCCTTTAGTAGTATATTTTTTAAAATAAAATTTTTTTTAGTACAAATTAAAACAATGGCAGTATTTTCAAGATAATAACCAAGAGAAGATAATATACCAATAACCACGAATTACTATCTAGTTTAAACCTTTATATTAATTTTATAGATATAATGTGATGAATTTATAAATGTCCATTTATCTCAGGTCACAAGACAACTACCGTACACCTCAAACGCGACCGCCGCCCATGAATGGGAATAGTCCCCACGCACAGAATACCCATAATTCTCTTAATTCTCATAATTCTAATAATCCCCATAATTCTCATAATTCACACAATACCAACAGTACCCACAATCCCAACAATCCTCATAATCCCAACACCACCCACAATCCCAATAATCCTAACAATCACCACAACCCGAATATTCCTCACAATCCCAATATTCCTCCGAATATCTCTCACAATCCCAATATTCCTCCCAATCCCAATAATCCCCATAATGCTACTAATCCTCATAATCCCAATATTCCCCACAATCCCAGTAATCCCAACAATCCCCACAATTCTCACAATCCTCACAATCCCAATAACGCACCCACCACGCCGATGCACGCGCGGGGACCGTCCTTACCCAACGTGCCGACCAATGACCATGCGAAGTACAGGTGAGGTTTTGTTTATTTTGATTAATGATTGTTTATGATATACATATATTGTTAGTATTTAAACTATCATTAAAATATTTTAGGTCATAAATTACTGTTGTCGATTTATACGTATAGTCATTTTATTTTTTAAATAAGACAGAGGTTTTAAATAAAAAAAAATTGTGTATACTCATTTAATAAGTTTATATTGTGAACTCGAAAATCGTAAAGTGTAAGCAATGGTGATATGTTATCAAAGAAGGATGTAACTTAGATTTTATTACTAATAATAATTATATAATTAAAAGCCATTACATAATAATAAAATAGTTTAGTTGCGAAAAAAATTGACAACGTCAAAACAAAATTTATTATGTGTTCAAAATTTATTTCAAAACTAGCATTGACCGCGGCTCCGCCCTCCGCCGCTCCGCGTTCAGATGACCAAAAAACAAATTTTTAGGTTTTAAATATTAGTATAGTACTCTTACATTGTAGTTTTTGAATTTTTTCTAAGATATGAGATATTTTCCCGCGGTAAAAAGTATCGACTTGGCGGGGGCACTGCCGTGCCCCCCGATCCTATATGTTGACCCGGATAACCAGCAATCACCATACCTAATTTCATCAAAATCCCTCCAGTGGTTTTTCTGTGATGCGGTAATAGACAGACAGACAAACAAAAATTCTAAAAACTATAGATTCCGCCTCTGTATCGACAATAATGTTGATTTTATAAGATTTTTCAAAAAATATTTAATGTACAGATTCGGCTTAGTCACAATTTTATTATATCATGTACGAATTAGACATTTCGTTCATGGTATAGATATCCGAAAATTACATTAAAAGTTTGAGTAATAGTATAAAAGAAATGTTTTAAAAGAAAACAATATCGAATGTTGAGGGTTGACGTCAGGCAGGCGGCCGGTCGTAAAACTTTTGCCAAATCCTAGGAGCAGTACAGAAGATGTACTGCGCCGGACCCAAGTGATCGGGGAAATGGGCAGGGAGATGATATAATAAGACTTTAACATGAGCGTGTTCGACAGCGCGCGGACGAACTCGGCGTCGCAGGCGGACTACGGCGGGCGCGCGCCGCCCTACAAGCCGGTGCCGCCGCCCAAGCCCAAGCACTACCGCGCGCCCGACGCGCCGCCCGCGCACCCGCCGCACCCCAGGAACGGGGTGAGTTGTACAATATTTAATATTATACCGTTTCAGTGTAAATATTTGTTTTTAATTATATAAAAATATGTATGTTATATTAAGTACCTATTCTTCTTTGTACGTGTTTGTGTTTGTTTTGTGTATAATATAATATTAATAGTGCCCTCCAAAAAATGATTTCATTCAAATAAATTTCAATAGATGGTGCTATAAGTATTTCTTTTAAGATTTCGTTGTGGATGTTTATGTAAGATTAATAACGAAAATAAGAACTATGTATGTACATCGGGGTGTCGCAAGAAACGTTTTTTTTGTGTCTCGTATAAAAATATGTTAGTTTGAGTCCTCTTTAAAGGTGAACTCGTAAAAACAATTTTTTGGGGTCGCTCAAGGTTTTTAAAATTTTTCATTTTTTTATCATAACAACTAAAGACGTTTACTTTTACTAGAGTTCTTACTATGATTTCATAGATGACACCATTGGCATAATTTCCTGAATTGTTTTTCTAATTCCAAAAGGTCATGTAGAAATAAAATGAAATATATAGTATATTTATAAAATGTAAGTAACAAAAACCCTCCGCTCCGCCGCAGAGTATGGACGCGGCGCACTACTCGCACGCGCACTCGCACTCGCAGCCGCACCGCGCCACGCACGCACACCCGTACCATCAGGTGATTGTTTATTTATTTATTTACTTATTAATACAAACAATACACATGTTTAAACAATAGAGGGTATGCGTGATTTTTTTTTTTTTATACAATAACTATCATCCTTTTATAATTGTAAAAAAATACCCAGCTGCAAAAAACAAAAATTTATTATAAAATAATAATTATTATATATTTTTTTAAATATCATACCGATACGAGAATTTAACTGCCCGCCATTTCGCGCGCTTGTCGTGACGTCAAAGTATCATACATAGAAAAATGATTACTTTAGTTGTAGCGACAAAACTAATCAGTCTATTATATAATACTTTAACGTCATATCCGGTCTGACCAATGGCTTGCATTTCAACTAATATGAATTTCCTACATATATTTGCACTTTTAAAAATTATTTACTTAATGAAAAATAAATTACACTGAAAAATATTTATATAGACTTAATTCAAAACGAATAAAGATTATAAAAAAAATATTTCACCTTTATTTAAATCACACGCATATTCCCTATTCAATAGACTTAGTCGACAAATAAAAGTTAGGCAATCGATTACAAAGTTACATAATAATTATCATACATAGCATTCATCATAATAATATTAATTAAATAGTAATTTTTTTTTTCTGTTAAACTTTTTTTAAACAAATTGTTGTTCTATTATATAATTGTGGTTTTATTTGGTTGTATGTGTGTCTGTGTATGTTATGCGATATCTGTTTTCATAAATTGATTGTAGGTACCTAGTTATTATTTTTCTAATGAAACTTCAACCATACAAATTCAATTCCTCTTGAAACCTTTTAGTTGCTCAAAATATTAATGAATATAAAGTTAATGCATAAAGTTTTATTTAATGTTTTTAAATATTGTAAGTCTCCTCACTAATTCCGGTCACAGCAGCCAAGAGAGGAGTCAAAGAGAGGCAAAGTACAAATGAAACTGTTTTTTTTAAATTAAATACTAATGAATATGCAAAAGCTATCTTCAAAATTCCATCATAACTCGAATGAAATACCAATAAACAAATCATATTGTTGTATATACAGCAAAACATGTACGGCGGACAGATGAGCGCGCAGTCGCCGCCGTACGCCGCGCCGCCGCACCGCGCGCTGCACGCGCCGCACAACCCGCACCTCATCGGTGAATATCTACACACTAACATACTGCTATACATACATACACACAAACAAACATACATACACACATATAATAACATAATTTATTGATCTTAAAACGTGTATAATAGAAATAATATTACATACAAAAACAAACCTATTATAATGCAGAACAATCGTTAAAATTAAGCGTCGATATTATTAATTAATTATACTTTTTTACAATTAATTGGTGAAAATTTTACACGCTAACATACTGAAATATACACATACATATATGGTTACACTGTAAGAGAATGTTATGTGGTAATCTTTGGAATTATTCTGATTTGAAGGTCTAGTTGCCTAACAGTAGTCTATGTGTTCTGTGTGTTAGCTACTCTAGTCGAAGGCATAGTTTAGCTGTACACCTTATCCAGATCCGAAATTTATCCGAATAAATATTTCGCCTTCACAGCGCTCTATCCTTACAGAGCTCAGAAACCGTTCTTTATACACAGAGTAAATAATCATACAATTATTTTTTTATTTCTATTTTTACATAAACGCACAGTACGGTATTACTTACAATTTAGCAGTTATATATAATAACCCTAACCAGCAAAGTTTCCATTTAAAAATATTTCTTCAAAAATATTAAGTAACTTGAATTCGATATTATAACAATATTTTGTACTCCAGTCATGAGTGTTTATATTTATAATATGTATGTCTTTAAAGTTATATATGTGTAGTGTATCAACTATCTGGTATCCATAACACAAACCTCGTAGCTTACCATGCAACGAGATGGTGCTGTGTGTTAATGTCCCAAAATATTTATTATTATAACAATTTCAGATTTAGCCGGCAGTCGGGAGCAGCGTGGGTCTGCTTTCGAGTTATATAGGAAACCTCAGCATATGCATAACATAAGGTAAGATGTTTGTCATTTACACTAGATAATTTCTATGCGCACCAAAGATGTTATATTTTACATGAATGCATGTTCCCCCATACCATGGATGGGTGGAGACGGTGGTACAATTTTGTATTTGATATAAATTGATCAATTTCAATATAAAATTATATTTTACTTTTTATTTAGTAATCACACTTAATTCTTATGAAAAAAATATATAAATATTAATTATGAATTGTTAGGAATTTTGACGTTTCTGACGTACTCAAATTAAAGTAATAATCAAAGTCTCTATTAAAATATATTATTATATATCTATGTTTGGCAAACAAAATACAACACCCTCATAAATTGCAATCTGGTAATATTTTGTTTGTAATCATTTGTCTGCTTGTTGCAGAAGTTTTTAACTGAAACAAAACTGCTACTCTGTAATAATTAAACTATGTAATTGGAATTCGATAGCTACGAGTATATCCGCGAACATACTTCAAGTAGTTTTTGAAGTATGATCTAATATTTGGGGGTGTTTAAAAAGTTCGTAGCCTGACCAGGAAAATGAAAAGCTATAATTTTTTAATTAATTTATTTTACAACATATTCTCCTCCGAGTTCAATACACTTCTTCCATCGACATGGCAACGCTTCTATGCCGGCTTTAAATTTTTTTTTCAGTCAAGCCCTCAAATACGGATATATTAAATTTAGGAAATTCTTGGAGATTATCACAACAGAATGTATGTGGACCTAGGTTTACATTGTTAGCAAGTTTATTAAATAATAACGTACAAAACAGTCGAAGTCTAATTTGTTTAGGCTTATACCCCAACAAGTCACTCGTTTCAGAGTTGGCTAGATATTCCTAAAAATAATGTAGATTTGGTCCAACTCCACTCATTCTATTAGTTAAATTCTATTATTTACTAGCAACTTACCCTCGCTTGCTCGGATACGTCACTAGGTACGTTTTAATTTTTTTGAACGGAACCCTAGTTCCTTTTTCTAAAATAAAAGTAGCCTAAGTTACTCCTTATAATATCAGCTATCTTCCTGTGAAAGTCTCGTCAAAATCGGTCCAGCCGTTTCGGAGACTAACCGGATCAAACCGACAGACAAAAGTTTAAAAAAATTGTGTTTTTATTATAAGTACCATCTATATGAATTTAGTAAAAGCTTATGACATTACAAACAGACACTTCCATTTTATTTATCTGTGTAGATTAGGATTTCAAATTATGTTTTTTTATTCATATAGGCATTATTTATTGTAGCACCGTCTCTTCGCCATATTATATTCCTTTTTAAGGATCTCTGAGAACTTTAGCCGCCCTGTACAATTTGCTCTAACATGCAAACACCAATCGCTTCACAACGACTAACAATGTCTTGTTGGACAGTATTAGTATGGTATCGTATGTGGTAATAAATATTATGTATCTGTAACATATTATATCGTATCGGGTGTTGTATTCGAATTCTTTGTATGAATTTATTGGCAGTGCGTGTCTGCATTTTAGTGCAATTGTTGATTTATAAAGCATATTGAATTAATTTGTCCTAATCTTTATTTTATTTCTTTATTTATCTCATTCTATATAACTTTTTATTTGTTGCATCTATATCATTATAATTAAGCTCCTTTTTTATATGTATATTATATTTTTATTATATGAAATTGTGTAATTTGATTTCTCTCATATTATCTCATTTCAGACATTTATTTCAATATGCTTTTAACAGTCACGAAATCCATCATTTATAAATTATCATTCTCAGTCGGGACATTTCAGAATTTTCAATATTTATTCTATTTCAATATTTACATATTTTCCTATGTATTTGTATATATATTTAATATATTTAGTATTGATTAATCTGAGGTGTCCATATATCAGTATCATTGAGTAACTAAGTGGGTGTTTTGGTTGTGGGTTTCCGCAGCTCCGACGCCATGAACTCCAGCGTGGAGCCCGATGAAACGTTCTCACCAAAAACTAAAAAGAAATTGTCCAAAAAGCCATCGTTCATTAAAAACGCCGTCCTCGATTTATTCCGTTCGAAAACGAAAAGTCAAAAGGTGTCTCGACAGAAGTCACTTTGCGAGAGTGACTTGCAACAGAGATACGCGCAGCAAATGCCAATGCTGAGACGAGAGAAGTCAGACCTTGGGGATCTGACCATACATATGAGAAACACGCAAATAAGAAACCAAATGTTGCAACGCAGCAACTCGTCTTCATGCGAAAAACCAATGTTGAAACCGATTCTCAAACGACAAAGTTCTTTTTGTGATGACAGAAATGGTTCCATATATACAGTTACAGATTACGATACTAAACTTACTGAAAGGAACTTAAGGAGACAAAACTCCATGTGCGAAATAGAAACAGAGCCGAAAGTTACCCCCTTGTTACGTAGACAAAACTCTCTCATAGAATATAATAGGAGAGGTGTCTATGGTAATTCCAGCTTTAATATGATTACCAAAATAGACCCGATCTACCAAAGACAACAGCAAATAAAACATGAACCCTTTTATCCCACTCAACCGCTACCTCCAGAACCTATATACCAAAGCAAAGAACATATTGTATATGACCCTATACCTAAGCCAAGGCGAACTTATGCTTCTTTATACGATACTTCTAGCGAAAATCCCTATGCTACCAGATCAGAGATTTCAAATCAAAGCTTTGAAAGTCCTTATGGAAATCGAGATACATTAGCAATGCCCTTATTAGATCCACCTTATGCAACAAGAGCTGAATGTGCAAGAGATGATACTTATGCTACACGAAGTGAAATCACGGAAAGCCCATACACAATTAAACAAGATATTCCCAGAAAGAATGAACCCTTGTACAGTGAATCTCCATATGCTAGCAAAGAACAAATGCTAAGACATAGAATGACTTCTGAAAGTCCTTATACCACTAAAGAGGACATGTTACGTTCACGTTTTTCGGAATCTCCTTATAATACAAAGGAAGAGATGCTTAAACAGAGAATGGATGGTTCACCCAATTCAAAAGAACCGATATATGGTAAACGGACATATGAGCCGCCCCCAAGTACATCTTGGTCCGAAAATATTTATGCAACACGACCTGAGAGAAAGTTACAAACACCAGTTAATTATCCAGGAAGAATATCTCCTATGAGCAAATGTATGAGCGAACCGCCATATGCCACTCGGACTGAAATGATGGCAAGAATAAACCAAACAGAATCACCTTATGCCACCCGATCCGAAGTAAAGTCTAGTTGCTCAGACAACAACTATAGCATAAGACACGATACTTTAGATTATACCCAACAAATTAGACCAGCTTCTGCCGAGTGCACATATGTTTCAAAGCAAGAAATATTATCACAAAAAGCTGCTTTGCTTGCTAGTAAAGATCCCACTTATGGTAAATTAGAAGAAAAGTTAGAAATCATAAAACAGAGAAATCAAGCTAAAAAAGAAAAGATATATCAGACTAGACTTGAGGCTAATGATAGCGATTCTATGAAAAGTAGAGAACCATTGTATGTGTCTAAAAGAGAACTTAAAGAAAGTATTATATACGAGTCTCACCAAGAAACTAAAGAAATTGTGCCATCAGTTAGTGGAGAAAGTAGTGCTCGAAGCAGTCCCTACGAATTAAGTGATGCTAATCATTTGTCTAGGCGAGAACCTTTGTATCAAACACCTGCGGAAGCAATGAATGGTGAATGTGAGACGTTCCAAGAGATTGATTTTTCCAAATTGCGCTTAACAGAATCAAAAACAGATTCAGAGAAAGAAAAGTCTAAAAATATAGAGAGTAAAATACTTAAAGGTGAACCGCTATATGCACCAAGATTACATGGCAAAGCCGACCATATATCAAATGCACTTAAAGTAACAACATCACCCATACCATATGAATCTTCGACGTCTATGGAAACACATTATGCATCAGAATGCAGTATGAATTTCGAAAATAAACCGCAAAGTACACCTTACACGTCACAAGATTTACAAGAGCGTACATTAAAAACGAATCGAACAGTCACATTCTGTGAACAAATTTTAGAAAAAAGCTCAGAAAACAGTCAAGACACTTCTGAAAATGCATCTTCTAGTAGAAATGAGACGACTGTTATAACTAATGACAGCACAATTGTCAAAAATGATACTTCTGATGCAAATGAATCTGGAAATAAAACAGAGGAAGTAGAACCGGACGGACCTCATACGACTTGGGGTATATTTGACAGCGAGGGTGGCGTATTGGAAGATAGGCATTGGGGCGTATCCCTCATAATTCCTCCAAAAGCTATCGCCCCAGGAATCAAGCAAAAGATCTATTTTACCGTTTCCGATCCAAGATTGAGTCAGCGAGTGGGGGGACCTCCCATCGATATGGATAACGGTAATGCTTTTGTAACGAAGCACGCGATGAATGTAGTTGCACTTACTAATTGGCGATTAACGTTTGCGAATGGAATGGAATTTTAAAGCAAAATGGGTATAAATGGATAGAATGTTTGGAACGAAATATTTGTTGTATTTGTTATTTTGTACCGAAATATATATTGCATGTATTGGCATGAAAAAATAGATGTAGTTTAGCGCATAGTTAGATTTTATTCTCCTGATTCGGAAAATAAAGCCCATTACTAACAAAATTCCATCACAAGCACCTTTTTAAGAGTAATTCATATTATTCCATAATCATTGTTGGCTGCAACGTAATTCATATCGTAATAAATTATCGAAAATATTTCATTTAAATCAATGTATCATTTATGTTATTCATTGAGTACACAACTAACATTGGGTAAAACGATTTGGTTATTTTTGCGCAGTTTCTACAACACAATACACTCGTACTTAAAGGTTGAAGAGCAGAGACGGAGGCAGTGCTACGTACATCCGACCATGTGATCGTATGTTTGATATAGTTTGTTTGTGCACTGTATATATGGAAAATACTGAACAGTTTTTCGTTTTGCCTTATATTAGTTATATGAATTTTACAGTTTATTTTCAATGCTGAGGACTTGGTGTTATTTGTTTGGTGCTTGGTAGTTTCAAATATTTCATCGTTTTTGCTTTGCTTGTCTAACTCTTTGCATTAACGTGTTGCGATTTGTGTTTGTGTGTTCCGTTTGTTTCCATCATTTCTGTATTAAAACGTAATACGTTCAATTTTCATACTATCACAATGTGATTTGACACAATATCTATACTTCAATGTGCACTTTCAGTTTTACATTTATTTAAATATTTCCACTGATATCCTTCAATTAAAATAAGATCATAATTATTTCTCTTATCACGTAGATAGTCAAAATACAAGAAATAACACAATTTTAATAAAAAACCAAAAATATAATGACGTCGTTATAACAACAGGTGAAGCAATGCTATCCCCACTAGTGATGTGCGGGCCGCAGGGGCTGGTGTTCCTGCGGCCGGTGACGCTGCGGCTGCCGCACTGCGCCAACGCGGTCCCATCCCTAGGCCTCACCATCAAGGCCACGGACACGGAAGCCCATCTCAGCACCGACTGGGACCAGATACACTTGCCCGCGACCACCACACTCAACACCGTCGCGGTCAAAGTCGACCATTTCTAGACTTATGCCAAATTATATCGGAATGGTATACTGTTTGATACACCCAGTGTATAGTCATAGCTGTAAAAGTCTCGAATTGACTGTGTAATACTTTATTAATATTTAAGTTCACGTTTGAATTTGTTGTTAAATGATTTTGAATATTATAATCTCATTGACTATTTTTGTGTTCAATCAAATATATTGCTTCATATGTTTTGTTTTAGTGATATTGGTATCGTGCGTTCGGCGTATTTGCATTTTCGTTGCTTAAGATCCCCATAAAATGTACACCCTGTAAGATTATTTTTAAGAACCTTTTATTGTATCACCGCCAAAATACAGTCATTCATTTTTTGGCATTCACCCACCTTAATTCATAAGTAATTAATATAGAATTAGTGGTGCTAGTGACAATTTAACTTTTGCATAAGAAATGCATATCGATATGAATCTCCATGATGGAATTTAACACGAATTATTCGTTTATTAATTAAAATTCGTATTTAAATAAATGCCTTACCGTAACTTAGGTTAGTTGTAATATTATGTTCACAGATTGTTGTTTATTGAGACTCTTCTTGATGTTAGGCACAGACTAAAAATCGCACTCGAATTGGCTTCCGCAGATTAAAAATGGTTATTTAAAGTATTCTCACTTTTAATTGGTATTTTTGGCTGTACGCCGTAGTCATATGCCTATGTTATGTATACGTAGAATAGAGTACGTAAGCGGACACTGTATGTATATTTTATTGTTACAAGTGAATCGCTGTTATTACCTATGATTCGATTATTAAATTTATATGTAATGAACATTTATTTGTTGTTTTATTAAAATTCTGATGCCAATTTATTTTAGTACCTATTACATACATATATATGTACATATACATATAAAGAGGCGGTAATAAAAAATCAAGATGAAAGTGATGATAAGAACTGTGAAAGTTAACTTTCGAAATACTTGTACAAAAAAGCTAAACTTATATAAAGATATAAAAACTAGCGTCTCACCCTCGCTTCGGTCGAGTTCATCCCTAGATACGTCTTGACGGTTAGTATAGATTTCTCAGAGATGAGATATATTCCCGCAGTAAAAAGTATCCTATATATTGACCCGGATAATAAATAATAAATTACATCAAAATCTGTTTAACGGTTTTCTCGTGATTCGTTCCCAGACAGATAGACAGACGGACAAAAATTACAAAAACTATACATTCTGCCTCTGTATGGATAATAATGACTATTTTAATAAGATTTTCCAAAAAATATTTAATGTGCAGATTCGACTCAGAATTTTATTATATGTAGGTAATGGTATAGATTAAAAAATAAACGAGAATGATCTACTTGACTACGTTATAATGCTATGTTACATGATTTCGATTTATTACCTGTGACTTTTCTATTAGTTTTGTCGATTGTAAAATGGCTCTGAAAAACGTACAAATGATACAATTTTTTCGAGTAATATTAGTTAAAAATATTTTTTTACTAGCATTGCCCGCGGCTTCGCCCACGTTCAGATGACCAGAAACCAAATTCTTAGGTTTTACATATTAATAGGTATACTCTTACATTGCAGTTTTTGCGGTAAAAAGTATCCTATATGTTGACCCTGATAACCAGCTATCATCATACCAAACATCAAAATCCCTCCAGTGGTTTTTCTGTGGTGTGGTTTCGGCCTCTGTATCGATAATAATGTTTATTTCAATAAGATTTTCAAAAAAATATCTAATGTACAGATTCGGCTTAGTTAGAATTTTATTTTATGTGTAGATGTATGTTTCCATTGTAAAGTCTCCAATTATTTTTTAAATAAAAAGATTAGTGTATTCATTATTAACAATTTTCCGTAGAATGTTTTATCAGTTATCACGTACTTTATTGGCAAAAATAACTATTAAAACAAATATAGTATGGAAAGTAAGTCATATCCTCAAAATGTGAAATTGAATATCATAAGAAACTAGCGTAAATTCGCAACTGACATTGACCCAGAGCTGACCGCGCGCGCGCCGCTTTAATGTGTGCATTTAAGAGGTACCTGTAAGAAACTGATTACACACTCTCAATCTTTAAATATAAAAATTACTATCATTAGAATTATACTTCCTTTAAAGTGTACAAAATGTTGGGTAAAACTCATTGGTCAATTAAAATAAGGTAATAAATATATAGGTACCTATTATTTTTTCATCGGTATATAGACATAATATGACATATTTTTATACGGAGACGTAGGTTTTATACTTGTTACAAATCTAACTACATGTATGTATGTCTCCGACGGTATTATGCTATTTTCTTTGTTTTACCAAATTATTATTATTAAACATTGATATATTTTTGTGATCGGCTCTTAAAAACCTTCGTGTTCATATCCCACTTTCCCTAGTTTGGAAGAAAACGTTTTTTCATGACACACAAATTTTTGATTTTAATAATATCTACATAGCCTAATAACACTCGCGTTATCAAGACAAACCTAACAACGTATGAATAATTAAAATCGGTTAAGCCGTTAAGTAATTTGTAGGGAACAGGATAACAGAACATATGTACATACAGAAACACATAACCCTCCTTTGGGCTTCTCCACAGTCGGACAAAACACAGATTATTAATGATATATTTAAATAAAAACTTAATAGATGTGCAATCACGTTAATATTTTTATTTTTTTAAGAAATATTAAAACCATTTTGTATTCATGGTCTGGCTCTTACAATGCGTTTGTATATATCAATACTCACTATAATGCGCAACATATAACTTAAAGATATATTTAATTCGAGAAGGATCATGCGTTTATTATTTACTATACTTCTACCGACCTTCATGTTGATCATTAGCTATAATACTCGTATGATGGGAAAAGATCTATCGTTAGGAAATATATCCGGAATAATTTAATGGAAAATAATGTTTTTATTATATTTCACACGCCATAACATAAAATAATCAATTTCTATAACGAAAATTATTATTTTATTATTTTTTCTATATTACAATTATTATGTTGTATGTTAATAGATGTAGAAGTGACTTCAACATTCGCTATGATCGTCATTAAATATAATAATAAATATGATTAATTCACTTTATTTTCCTAAAATTAGTCATAATTAAATCCATACTAAAAATAGCTGAACCGATCTGGATGAAATTTAGCACAGAGATAGATTATAGTCTGGAATAACATATACGGCTGCGACCGCGGCCCCGCCGGTGTCCACTGTTGCGTTTTACGCAACAGGCTACTTTTTAACCCGGAAAAATGTACGGTTCCCGTGGGATTGGTTTGTTTTTGTTTTCCTAGAGGCGAACCCGAGCGAAGCAAGAGTAAACTGCTAGTTGTTTACACAAAACGTTTAGTTATAGACACCAAATGTACTTTTTGAAGGTGCTTAAATATGTTTTCCAATATAAATATTATGATTATGGTGGCATAATAAATTAAAATTGTCACATTCGATCGCGCAAATTTAATTTAAACGCGTTTACTTGTACAGTAATGTTGTTTTATATGTTAATTATTGAACTATACTAAATATATTATTATAGTAATAGATATTTCAGGTCTGTACGTTATACAATTATTAAAAAATCTATGAAACAGTCATACATATTTCACTCGTGCATTAGTAATGAAGATAATTTTTTCACATATGACCTTCAAAACCATTAAAGCTTACTTATTATTATTAGTACTTGCTTACTAGTAAATACTAGCAGCTTACCCTTGCTTCGCTCGTGTGCGCCGCTAGGCATACCCAAACACGACCTCACTTTACTCCAGATAATAGGTCTATTTATGTAGATACTTTGTTTAAATCGGTTCAACTTCAGCCGTTTTATGGTATGTTACGCACAAAAGACGCGTAAGAAACTTACACATATGTACATTCAAACTTTCACATTTCTTATTATTATTATATATGTCAATGTTTGTATGTGTGTACTTTGATAGTATTAATTGTCGTCCCTTATACTACAATAACTTATAATAACCTGTCAAAGCACGCGCAGCCACAGGTGGCTCGGTTAACAATTAATTTGATAAAATAATATCAGTCCCGCTGAGTTTCTTTCGCCAGTTCTTCTCAGGTCTGAGGCTTCTTCTTTCCGAACTGGTAGTAGACTCATGATGTTCAGTAAATAATTGTAATAATTGAATGCTGAATGAAATATTTTGAATTTGATTTTTTTTTTAATTTCTTAGAATTTAACCGCGAGGTGATAAAAACTACGAAGATGATATAAAATACATGCAATGCTACAGGCAGGAATTAATTCGACGAAGGTAGAATTAAACATTAACACATTTGCGATTACAAACCGCGCTTTAGAAATAGTGATCATCGTGAGATAGTGAGGGGTCATTAATTTTTAGTTTGCGGTGTCAATGTGTTGATTACTTTGAATGCCTATTTACCCCTAGGTCATTTATTTCGCACTGTACCAATAAATACTCATACCAGGTATCTCTTAAATGCAGTCACTGATGAGATGAGATATTTACAGGTGAGACCTATCTATAAATTCAGGGACACCAGGTTTAATTATTATATATACATAATTTACGTACAATTATTTTTGTTCTTATGCACATTTGAGGATGTAATTTCCATCATTCACTCTAATAAGATTTCTAAAATATAACATATCTTTCATTACTATACACTACGTAAGGAATTAGACACTACAACTGTCTATCCCAGGTTGAAGATCCGGAAACAGATTCTAAACAAGATGTAAAGATGTAGTGTCAAAGGACATGAGGAAGTACAAGCTTTTCGAAGATGAGGTCTCCAGTAGAGCGAAGTGTAGAAGAAAAATTAGGAGGCCTGACCCCATAATCTTGTGGGATATACTCGTATAGCCAGGAAGAGAGAGAATGAAATCTTATATTACTATACAGGCTGTACAGGTGCCCTTAATAGATCAAGGTAATATGTATAGAAACTGTCGAAATGAAAAACAGCTTTTACTTTAACAACTTAACT